CGACCGCACTTGAAGCATCCATGTTGTGTGGAGGCGTAAGTCGAACGGACAGTCGGTAATGTGTCCAAGCTAAGCCGACGACGAGAGTTCTGCTGAAGTTCGGCTGCCTTTTGAGCGAAAACCTGGGGCGATGCTTCAGGTGACTGGCAAGATAAGATGGCTGCATGGGTAGGGTCAGCCAAGCCATCAACGACATACTGGCGGGCAGCCGGAGAGATCCATGCAATGCCACATTTGTTGAGAAGCCCGAGCATATCGTTGACGTATTTACAGGCGTCTTCCGATGGAGCCTGCCGACGCGATCGCATGTGCATGAAATGGTCGTCGTATGCGAATGAAAGTAATGGGAAGGCCGTGACGAAGGCTGTAGTCCAGTCACTTCAGGATTTGTACTTGCAGCCATCGTATTGATGCCACGCTTTCGCGGACTCGCGCAGTCGGCTTACGGCTAGCGATAGCGTCACGTCGTCAGTCCATGCATGTCGACGGGCCAACGAATGGATTTCACCCAGCCAGACGGTTGTGTCTTGATCAACGCCAGTAAAGTCAGGAATTTCTGGCATAAACGGAGGAGGCAACGTGGTGTGTGCACAGGCTGCTGAGAAGGTGACGGTGGCGTCTGCAAGACGCTGGCTCGAAGTAGCGATGGCCTGCAGAACCGTGTAGAGTTCGCTGGCGGCTACAGGCGAGAAATTACGCCTGTCTTCTGGCGACGGTACTGACGTTGCTCCAGGGATGGTACCTGAGGCGAAGTCCAAGGGAGCGTGTACAGCGTCCCTGGGCAAGGAGGCGGTTTGCGAAGCCGAGTCAGTGGAGTCACCTTGTGGTTTGGCAAGGACGCCTGCAGGCAGCGCGCTGGCTTCTGTACCCGCGATGGCCAGGTCAGGTGCCATGGCCACGGTAGCAAGAGCTGAGAGCCGCTGGAGAGTGCGTCCGCTCCATAGGACGGTTTCTTTACGCAGGTCGTCGCACACAGGTTCTTTGAACGGCTGCGCCATTGTGATGAGCGAGACAGAGAACAAGAGATAACACCCGATCCTGGGTCAGCTCTTCTTCTTCTGCCTATTCTTCCTCGCTTTCCAGCCCATGGCCCACAGCTGCCGCGCCGCTCTTCGTTACAATATATATATATATATATATATATATATATATATATATTATATATATATATATATATATATATATATATTATATATATATATATATTATATATATATATATATAAGGGAAAGAAGTGTATACTTAAGGGCTCGTTTTTCCGTGTTTTAACACAATATTAATGAGATATAACAGACAGTAATGCCAAGGAATGTACAGGGGAAGTTATTAAAATCAATGGAATGTAAATAAGAAGAAAGAAAGTGGATGTAAAAATTACCAACTGTGAGCAGGAAACGAACCTACGACCTTCGAATTACGAATTACGAATTACGAATATATAGATAGATAGATAGATAGATAGATAGATAGATAGATAGATAGATAGATAGATAGATAGATAGATAGATAGATAGATAGATAGATAGATATATATATATATATATAGAGAGAGATGAGAGAGAGAGAGTAGAGAGATGCGAGGACAGTGAGCGACAACGGAAGTGAGGAGAAGATAGAAAAGATGAAACACAGTCACAGGATTCCGAGGACGGTGCACCACTGGCGAGAGCTCTTGTCGGCAACAGGAAATGGCGTAGGGCAAATCCAGTCGGCCAGAGCTACGCTGTCGTCGTCGTAGAGGTCCGGCGGCAGGAGGTGGCGTAGGACCAACCCAGTCGGCCAGAGTTGCGCTGTCGTCGGAGATCGCGAGGACACAACCGGTCATCACGGAATCCAGCGAGCGAGTCCCCGCTTAGAAGCTGAGCTTCCCGCTGTACTCGAGTCCACTGTTTTATTCTTCGCCAGTTTGCAAACTGCTGCCATTAGTCCTACTTATCGTAAGCAAGGTTGATCAGATTTTATCAGAGACTAGAGCGCCAACCTTCTTGTGGTGCTTCTATAGTATGACAGAATTAAAACATTTAAAAAGATTCGTCACAATCGGCTCACAGCCGCTTCGATAAAGCAGCGATGACGCTATTTATTTTTTTGGTGAAAGAAAACAATTTTCCTGAATCAGCAAATGCTCTGGCCGTTCCATAAAACGACTGCTTGTTCCCGTCCATAACAAGGCAAGTACAAGACGCTTTCGCGCCTTGTGCTGTAGCCCGCTTTGCAAAGCTACAGTACAAGGCGCGAAAGAGTCGCATAGGCGGCCCGCACCGCAAGGAACATTCAAGGACAATCGTCACAGGAGAAATTTTTACTCCATTAAAACATTGCCTGGTAACATTTTCATTTCCTCGTAACAATATAACTCAGTACATGATTACTGTTTATTGAGGGATTACTGTTGTTGGTTTCCCAGCGTGCAGCTGAGAGTAACTACTGTCAAAAGTGGGGGGCTCGCCCCCCCCCTCAACTTTTCTCAGGGGTGGGGGGTGGAGGCTTGATTCCCCGTTGACCAACCCGGTTGAAACGCCTATGACGGTGGCGTAAATGTTCTTTCGTGCACAGCAGAGGTCAGTGAAGTGAGCGGAGCGTCCACCTCAAATAAAAGAAATGCTGGATTCGATTTTCAATGACGCCAGGCTCCGACCGGGTTTTCTCATGGCGATTTCTGGTGTGGGTACTTATTTTTCGAGAATAACTTAAGCATTTTTCCTTGCAACTCCCACCATATATAAGTGTCTTCCCTTTTCCGAAATCGCCACTACGTACAACGTACAGCCGACTTAGATCTTATTTTAAAAAAGCGGTTGAGCACCCATGGTACAGATAATCGAACCCAGTGCTTCATGAATTGGATCATTGGATTGCGGTCTCTGACTTGACCATCGTTGTGGCCCACAGGATAAGTCATTGTGGATACGGCAACATTTGACAAATTTTGAAGGTTCTCACTTTCTTCACCCTGCTTGAGTGACAACTGTAAGTATCTGAACAAAACAGAAGTTCGGAGAAGGAGGGACGTTTGAGGTGATCAGGAATCGTTGTACAGATAATGACAATATTCAGTGATTTCTGGTATGTGCGACAGGGCCTGGGCGTAGCCAGAAATTCGTATTGGGAGTGTACATACATACGCAGTACATATATGCAGTAAATATGCGCGTCGGCAGGATTTTCTTCAGGGGTGGTGTGAACGAGTGTAGCATCGTCGCTGTGTATGGGGGAGTGTTAGTATAGCTTGGGCCGGGGACAAGTGCTGGTGTGGCCTGAGTGGAACGAATGCCCAGTTTCCACCCCTATGCCAATACCCTTGCCCCCTTCCACCCCTATACCCTTCCACCCCTATGCCGATGTGTGTAAAATTTAAAAATATGTAGTTTAAAAATAGTAACTGTAAAAGTAGCATATACCGTTACTCTACGCTGCGCGAGATATAGACGCCATCTGGCAGTAATGTCGGAAAACGAAAGCTTGTGTGGAACGCAGAGCCACTGGTAGGTGGCTGCACCGTACCGTCCTCACGCAGCGTAGGAAACACCATCGAATAGTTAAGTATTGATTATGCGTTATTTGCTTTTTGATTGATATTGTTCACTAATATGAACGCAGCTACCAGGTTAAGATGGTTGGGTGTTGAGCTAGGGCTTAAGCTTTTGCCGGGAGTCTGAATCGAGTGACAGACAGACAGACAGACAGACAGACAGACAGACAGACAGACAGACAGACAGACAGACAGACAGACAGACAGACAGGCAGGCAGACAGACAGGCAGGCAGGCAGGCAGGCAGGCAGGCAGGCAGGCAGGCAGGCAGGCAGGCAGACCAGAATTCTTGCGTTTGAGTGTCCCAAAAATTGCTATCGTCTTTAAAAAACCGGAATTATAGTCATCATGCTATGAACCTCCTCAGCGAAGACTACCAAAAATGCGCTGCCGTGACTTTCACATCAACTTTTGACTCCCGTGCAGCAGGCAGAAAAGGGGTGATCCTTCCATTGCAAATATCTAGGCTGTGATAAATGTAGCTAACCAACGAGGTTCATCATCATCACCAGAGCCGAAGAACGATTTAAGCTTCACGACACCGCAATCTCGACCCATGAAAATTCTCACAATTGCCGCTGTCCACCCTGTGCCTCTCCTATAATGCAGAGTGCCTCTCCTATAATATAATAATCACCTTTTCATAAACGCCTTTCTGAGCGCCGCCATAGCACTCCTTGGGCTGTGCAAATTGGCGCGTCCCCTCGAAAATGCACTGACAACGCTGCGCCCTTAGCCTTTGTACTCCCGCGCACAGCCCATCATGGCGGTGTTTTTTTTTTCCTTCCTGTGAAAAGGTGTTAGTCAAGTTTTATGTTCATAAATAACCTATTACGAGAGATGCCGTAGACGATGGCTCCGAAATTTTCGACCACCTGGTGTTCTCTATTGGCATTTATATCTATGCATACGGACCTCTACCACTTTTCCTCCATCGAAATGCGACCACCATGGTTGGTATTCGACCTTGTGACAGTCAGTTTTCGGGCATACTACACACCACGGCCTCTCCAGCAAGTAAAGCTGTGGTGTAAGCTAACGTGGTTGCTTGGGCGAGTTAGTACGACATGATTCACATAAAAAACTGCGCCAATAACGACGGACAAGAAAAGAAGGAGACAGACAGCGGCACTGACTTACAACAAGATTTATTTGCTAGAACCGCACAATATATACTTGGACAGTATCTGATTTTTGTTGTCTTGTCCGTCGTTATTGGCGCTATTTTTTATGTGAATCATGTGGTGTAAGGTTGTAAGTGAGACGACACGAGAAGAGACATAAATAATGCAGTAGTAGTTGTGGTAGTAGTAGCAGTAGTAGTTGTTGTCGTTGTAGTAGTAGTAGTAGTAGTAGTAGTAGTAGTAGTAGTAGTAGTGGTAGCAGTAGTAGTACTAGCAGTATTACAGAAGATTTGATTTCAGACCTTGACCTCGTGGAGAAATGAATGAGAAAAGAAGCATTCAAATTTTGTGTCAGCCAAAGTTGTAGCCTTTAGTACTCTCCGAAAGGGCAGTAGCACTCGCCAAGGCCTTCACATTCCGAATCCACCGGTTACTTCAAGGGAGGCACCTGTCATGTACGAGCTCTGTGGGCTGCAGAGAAAAAGTACAGCCTGGGCAATTTCTTCAGGCTGTCCAACTCGCCGCATAGGCGCGAGTGCAAAAAACGTCTTGTGACTCTCCTCAGGTAACGTATCGATCAGTCGGAGTCTGCGTCAGCGATGGCAGCACAGCGTTGCAGCGTATGCCATGCGGTGCCAGTTCCTGAGCCGCCGACTTGGTCAGGGACACGACACCCCCCTTGGAAGGCGGTGTACGGGACGCAGCCAGAGAGCCCGGTCTTGCCCAGAATGCTGGCGATGTTCACGATGACCCCCTCGGTGACGTCCTGACGCAATCATGGCACGTGCAGCTGCCCTTGTAACCAGGAAAGTGCCCTGTAAAAATAAAATGCAACGACTTAAAGCCCAGGACTTGCACGGCAGCTTACTTCTGTTTTTTTTTTTCTTAAAAGTAGTGGCGCACTATGCTATGTCCATAGCCACGTCGCCTAAAAAGATACCGTCTCGCTGAGTAACTTATGACCAACGGTTCAATTATTCCATCTTGCGAAGGGAAGTGCAGCAGTGGTTGAAAAGAAAGTACGCTAGAAATATGTGTACATGTTTCTTGTACACAAGAATATTTGTACACAGTACACTGTCTTAAGTGCCAGGCTTTGAAGGGCTCTCCAACACTATTGAAGCACCTGTTTTATCTGTGTTTTGCGTATGATAGCTGGAGGTAATTTTGGCATTGCTCTGAGCGCGGATATTGTGTGATTTAGTATTTTATTCCCGCAATAAAGTCGCTACAAACTTTGCGGGCGGAGATGACGCCCGCAAAGAAGGTTGCCGCCGTATGATTGGATAAATGTAACGTTAGAAGCGATCGTGGTGTAGGATCAATACTGAGGTTACTAACCTGTTTCATTTTTCGTCTCTGGGCTTTTTCATCGAGCCCTGACCAGACGCGGCCACAACAAAAAACATCACTGCGACTACTAAGCACGACAGAGACGCTGGCTGCCGTTTCACCACTGGATTTTTGGCTTTCCCAGGTGGGATGTCCATACGGTAGACCCTCTCTCTTCCATCCTATTGTTTTTGGGAGTTTGCGAGCTGTCTCTTTCCGCACGTCCACTGTTGAAGGGGTGCAGTGTACCATTGTTGTTCGTTAGGTGGCCCACCGAACACGGTGCAAAGGATCAACCGTACTTCGCTGTCCTGGTCGTTTTACAAGTTCCTTTCTTAGAATAAGATGAAGTTGGCCTCGGTATGTTGCAGAAAATACCTCGCTTTGAAACAGCAGCTCCCGCTCACGTTCTGACAAGCCAGGCGTCAAACAGAAGGTCAACCATGCTTTGAAAGAAGAATAAAAAAAAGCAACCGTGGGGTGCGAGCTTCCCCTACGTAAGCGCTTCCAGCTTATTTCACTCGGGCAGGCTTCCGATCTCATGGGCGAGTGAATTGTAATCGAACAACCCCGCGAAAATCGAGTTGAGGGTCGGCATTTTTTCTTGTATTTTGAATTTTCCAAGTTCAATAACTTCACACTGCGTTTCGTTATCACTGCCGTTTTTGCTGCACCTGTACTTCACTCTACGTAACTCACGAATAAAACATGAGGAGTTGAGTAGTGTTGGAGGGCCCCTTTAACTGTATTGATAGATTGATATGTGGGGTTTAACGTCCCAAAACTGCAAGTCATGTTCTTATATGAGAGGGGAGCGGGGGAGTAGACGGACCGCCTTTCTTTTCATTGCAAATTATGAACCATGTAGCGTAACGCACTACGAGCATTGCACCATGAGACAGAGTGACTGGTCAACTTGAAGTCTAGGTTGAAGTGAAGTAGATCAGAATAGTTCTGGTGCATACGAAATAGTGAGACGCAACGGTGTAGCACCATAGGTATGCATTACGATGTCGTTATTAGTCACTACGCAATAACCTTGTTTTCTATCGGCGAAGACATCATTTTGTGAAAAGATGAATGTATAAATTACCGAGTTCCCATGCAGCTTTGAAAAATTATACCTAGAAATGTCGCTGATTTTTTGACAAGATAAGCAAACCCATAATTGAAGAGAGATTCAAGTATACACACAACTATCAAGACTTAATTTTCACTCTTCAAAATAGGCAAATACAGACCCGTGCATTTGTTCCTAAATAGGATCCCAGAGCAAGATGTTTAACTAAGCAATGTCAAATGCTGAGTTACAGCTCCGCAAATAGGTGCGGGTACTTCCGGAGTGAGAGAAGGAAAGTTTTGCTTTTTTGTTGTCGTTTGTACGCTAACCTTGAGATTGACCCGAATGATCTCGTCGAATTCCTCATCTGTCGTGTCGACGAGCGGAGACATCCCGGCGATGCCAGCGCAATTCACCACGATGCTGACTGGAATCGACTCGGTGTCCTTGATATCGGCGAACAGTTTGTCCACCGATTCTGTTTTGGTGACGTCCAGGAAGCTTCTTTGTGGGTTGCAGGGCCTGCGACGAGTGATAATATTTCCCAATTGTCGTTGCATACTTGTTAACTACCCAACCCCCCTGCCCTCTCTCTCCACTTATTTATTTCCTCTTTCTTCTCATTTGAGGGGAGGGATGCAAAGGTTTGTTGCGGCCCCGCCCATCCTCCAGCTCGTTGGTCGAGTCCAAAAGACAGCACTTTCCGCGAGAAATGAAAATATGGAAAATTTGGATATATCATGCTTCAAGCAGTAGCTTCCTTGGTCCCTGGCTTCCCGGAAGTATCGGCCGGAAATGAGCAGTTCTTGAAATAAGATCAGGAGACTGGCCACCACTATCGTCAGATGCTACGTGACCATAAACTTCCCCTTAATATAATAACGGGATATGTCAGACTGAGCAAAAGTGCGGAAGAGAGTTTGGGCCCCTTTTTAGGGGACTGGTGACCCATGAGTGCTCGCCTGTGCTTATACGAACGAAGAGAAGGGCAGCTTACCTGCTAACGCCTCTGCCACGTCCTTGGCGCCATCCAGGTTGCAATCGGCGACGAAGACTCTGGCTCCTTGGGAGGCGAGGGCGTGGCACGTGGCCTTGCCAATGCCGCTGGCGCCTCCTGTCACCACGGCTAGACGGCCTTGCAGGGACATGCTTACTGCGCTGCTGACTCCAGTGGACTCGCAAACTTATCCCGAAAAGGTCCTGTCTCGCTGCGAACCCGTATCTTTATTTTTTCTGGGCAGTTATCAGGTGTTGCCCTGCAAAGCACACTCGAGATAAGATTTTTCCGCTGAGGCTCATGTACATGTACATACGCTATCAGCGACGTTATGTACAGCATGCGAGTGGCTCGATAAATGTGATACACGGCCCCACCCCATTCACTCGGCTTTTTGGCACGGTTCCAAGTGATCGTTGTGTGCCAGCGCTGCTGAACATGTGAAATCACTGACCAGTCAATGCTAGGTCGTTTGGGTAGCGCCCTCGACCTGAAACGCCAGTCCACTCATTGGGCTGGTTGGGCGTTTGCATGTTGGAAGCATACAATCTCAATGAAGCGTTCATTTACTAATATACACCGGGTAAAGCTGGGTGTGCGAATTCAGGGCCACTGATGAAGAGGAGGAGGGAGTTCCACGAAGGCTGCTCGCAAAGCTCTTGGGTCATCGGGCTTGAAGTAGACTGCACATGTATAGCCCAGCGTACTTACGACAGTCACATGTTCCCTTTGCACTGCCACCGCGGGCCATGTTATTCAACATGATAATGTATCTTGGCGAATGTGACATGTGTGATTTCTATAAGTTCAAAGGCGGCTGTGTGGGTGGTCCTTCTGTCCATTCGGTTCATGTATTCACTGCGTTATGGAACATTGTGTGACGCTAGAGTTATTGTGTAGTCTACCAGCTACATTCTGAGCACAGGTTCGGGGACAAGTGGAATTTTGATGACATGAAGAATTCTTGAGCAGGGGCTGTCGGTGGAGCTCAAGCTTCGACACGTGCACTTGTTGAAACATTTGCCCACTCTTAGAATTATTCAGCTACATTCGGTGACATGTAGTGCAGTGACCCTATGCGATGCCAGCTAGCACAGTTATCATCTCTACCGGCGTCTCATCAAACTGGGCACTCGCAAACCTTGATTTCGAGATACCGGTAAGCTGTGCAGTAATAATATTGCTAAGTCGCAGATAAAATATAATGTGTACTAATTGCCATTTCAACTCATGCACTGCCCCTTTAACGTAGAGAATTGTGATGTTCTACATGTTAAAATCACCTTGGGATTATAACTTGAAACCTGAATATAATCGCACGGGTGCTTTCTTTCTTGTATTTTGACATGACCTGGAATCGAACCCGCGTCATCCAGGCTTGAAGAAACTCGCGAAGGTGTGGTACGGGATTTCTGGTAACATATATCTGCAGCCGGCTTCTCGGTAGCGCAGATGAAAGACGAGAAAAATGTAGATACCCATGCATGGATGCATACCATGTGTGCCTACATTGGTCCCGACTTTTATTTGCTAGAAGCCTGCGCAGAAGCCTTTCACGCCACTAGGTGTGTTCTGCAAAACAATGACACATTTTCACTCATATTCGTTTGAGTTCAGGCTGAATGCTTTAATGTTTTGATAGAAGGACTTGCCGTCGTGACTGGACATACGAAAAAGTCCTTCATGGCACGATTCCGCCGGTAACATCAAGTGAAGCTCCGCTCACGTAGGAACTGTTCGGGGAGCAGAGGAACAGGATGACCTCGGCCACTTCCTCCGGCTTACCCGCTCTGCGCAGAGGCGTGAGGGCCACTAGCGTTCTCTGAACCTCTTGTGGCAGCACGCCGATCATCGGTGTCTCGATCAACGACGGCACCACTACGTTGCAGCGGATGCCGTGCGGTGCCAGATCTTGAGCCACCGCCTTGGTCAAAGCCACGACAGCCCCCTTGGATGCATTGTACGCCGCCATGCCGGCAAGTCCAACGACGCCTGCGAGGCTCGATAAGTTCACGATGGCTCCATCCCTGACGCCGGAGGCGATCATGGACCGTGCGACGGCTCTTGACGTTACAAACGTGCCCTGAGGGAAATGGGGACGACGATTCATGCCATGTTCATGAAGGCTTCATTTGTCCCATTTGAGTCTACTGATTATCCGCATACATACATACGTATACATACATACATACATAATACATACATACATACATACATACATACATACATACATACATACATACATACATACATACATACATACATACATACATACATACATACATACATACATACATACATACATACATACATACATACATACATACATACATACATACATACATATCGGCGAGGCACTGTTAAATGTGGTAAGAGGATCGTTCAAATGATTATGCAATAGAATAGCCTGTTGACGAGTTGGTAATGTTGATAATTCGTAATGAGCGAAAAATATAGCAAAATAATGTGAGACAAAATTAAGAAACCTACCAGACAGGCGCATCCTAATAAGTTTCGTTCTCGTGGTGAACATCTGCTTTTGCTTCCTATATGCATTCGTTTTTTTTTAATAGACGTTCAGAAGTATGCGTTTGCCTTGTACCTTTCTTTGCCTTGTGCCACGTTTTTTTTTTTTCCTCGTGCTGTGTTTGCTCATTATACAAATGATAGGTGTCACCCTCCTCCATCCTAGTAAGTGGTCTTATGAGGTCGAGTCATGCTTTCTGCAGTAAACGTGTTTTTTTTTCTTGTTTTGTAGGCTCAAATGATAAATAGAAGAGCACAGCTGGTATTCTGTGCGGCGGAATGTACCTTTGTCTAGGATCTCATTTCAGTGTACTGCCCTAATAATTTCATTGCCTAGGATCTCATTTCAGTGTACTGCGCTAATAATTACATTGTCAAAACGAGACTTGGACTAAATATAGTGACACTGACAAGTCCATATTAGATGTCGCCACCACAGGATAATTGTTGCTGCTTGCCACGAGATTGAATTTCAGATCCCTGTTCTAAGCGGTTGCATTTTTCTCGAGGCAACATTAATAAGCTATCTCGCGTCCCTCGAACAGAACATTAACATAACCTTGTATGTGGTGTTTTTTTCCCATAAGGGCTATGTCATGAAACCGAAGCTTCTCTAAATTTCACTGGAGCGTAAGTTTCTTTCATTTTTACAACAGCTGTAATCAAAATTGGGCGATGCCTGACCCTAAAGTGGTCTCAAAAAAGCAGTATCAATTAAAAGTGAGCGAAATGTTGCATCTATTTGAATGAAAGTGAGCCACATCATTTGAACCATCGCTGCGCCAAATATCACGACCTAAACAATTAACGTGACCGCATTGAATCTGTTTCATTTTCTGTAGCGCTTTTCTTATCACAATTGGCTTTTTTTTTCTTGAGCGGTCTAGTACTTATATATACTGAATGACATGTTGTTGTATAGGGCAAATCTCGCATTGAAAGAGTAGGAGGCCAACTTCACTAGTTATTTCTGCCTCTTAGGCCCTTATTTTTCATTTTGGCGTTCCATTAACGTGTCTTTGTTTCTGTCCAAGGTGTCATACTTGAAATAAAAGACAACTGAAATGAAGTTATTGAGCACTGATCTGATCTATTTCTTGAAGTAGGAGTGATCCGAAACAGCGTGGAATAAAACGGGCGAAGAAGAAGGGCTGTAGAATTTTACGAAAACCTTCAACACACGCCAAGAACAAGGGAGTGCCGCTGGCAGTTAAGAATGATGTGGCTTTTGGGTGGAAGAATGAGTCGCTCTACAAGTAATGTCGTTGCCATTACGCCCGTACAACGAATGACAGGGCCGACGGAAACACAAAGATGGCGTTACTTTGTTCACAAAGTAATGTTCTGTCGTTCATTCGCTGTGATTTAGACTTCTTTTACGGTCCTATTCAAGCACACAGGGAATGTTCCAGTCTGTGAGAACGAAGTCCAAACTTTACTCACGAATGTCGACGATAGTGGGCTATATAGATTTTAGCCGCAACATATACATTTTAGCCATGACATTGACAACATGAGAGCACGGGCTAAAGATTGTTAGAGCAAGTGCCACTATGTTATCACAAGCAACAAAAGAAAACTGCTTAATTTCTCAGTTCAGTATGAGTGGACTTAGCTTTCTTAGAAAAAAAACGCCACATATATGTTCCCTGAAGGACGAATTCCTCTTCCATAGCGATAGCGAATCATCCCAGATTCGTACTAGCTGTCACTGTCTTATAAAAACGCAAATGTTTACCTTCGATTCCCAGTAACTAGCCTCTTTCCAGCCAGGACTACGCTATCTTCCTACCAACACCCGTTGTATAAGCCATATAGAGGTGTGTGTTGACTGCGTTACATGTCCAGACTAATTGAAGTTCGTCCTGTCAATGTAAATGATGATATATAGGCTATAATTCGCAAGTCGATCGCTTCTCGGGCTTGCCAGCTGCGCGTGATACTCTGGGTTTCTACCACATGTGTTTGTATCCGCAAAATACAATGATCTTACACGTTTCTCTTTGAAGATAACGCTGAGGTGTCGATCGTTGCTTAGCACAGTAACCGCATGCATTCCGAATTATTTCTTCGTTCATGTATATAGCCTTCTCCTCGTGATCCAGATACCCTGTGACTGAATATCATATCTATAAGCGTACTACCTAACACAATTAAAAGGGGTCTGACTGCAGTACGCTAATTCTTATCTATCTAATCGGTCGAACGTTTCCTAGGTCTCCGGCACAATGATTTTTAGAGGTACAGCACCGGAATTTTCGGGCTGAAATTCTTCCTCGCTTGTCTAAGCTCATTTGCATAAGTGCACAACAAGATTTTGGAATTGACAAGATGTCCCTGTTGATTCTTACTGCTATAACACACCCCAGAGCACCTTCAATGCATTGAATGACATTTGATTGATAGTTTCTCCTTGAACCCCCAACCCCCTCCTTTTTTGTTTTGTATTGGTATTTATCGTTTTTTTTTTTGTGGAGAGTTACCAGCAAGATATTTGAGCTACCAGGTACATTCGGATGAAAGCCTGAAAACAGATTTATTTATTTATTTAACAATACCTTACAAGCCTCCATTGAGACATTGTGTAAGGAATAGTGCGATACAAATTAAATAATTAGTTAAAGCACCACTGTTAGCAAAAAGATCTCAGCAATGATAGCAAAGATAAAACATACATAATAAGGAAATTATCATACGGGTATTACCTATAGTGTCATGTAGTCAAGCAAGGTTGAAAATTTAATACAGTATTACGGTTCGCACCGGGAAAAAAGAAGAATAGGAGAGAAAAAAAAGCGACACTATGGGGCTAAAAAGGAGGGGTTTCAAAAAAAAAAAGATTGCGATAACACAGAGACCGCACTACGACAATGGCAAGTGTCAACATTTTGTCCACCAGATGACAGGTCAATATGTCAAGGCACACATAAGTACTCTCCACACATGCGATGCTATCCGGCAGGGAATTTCAACATCGGACTGCTCGTGGAACCGCAGAGCAGTCAAATGCACGTGTTCATCCGTAAATGCGCGTACAGTTGAACTGAATATAAAACCTGTGTGGCGCGGAATATCGTTGCTTGATGTTTGCTGGTGTTCGTAGTGAATGAATAAACTAATGAAATAGTGTCGACAAGGCAATTTCACGTCAAGTAGTCAAAGATTGCGATGATAGTTCAAGTTATATTTGTGCGACGCTAGACTGGTAGCTGTAATCATTAGGAATGAAGCGGCTTGCTCTGTTCTCAATTCATTCCAATATATTCTGGTGAGGGTACCGAATAGAGGAAGCGTACCCTAGTTGAAAGCCAACAAGAGTTAGGTATTCTAGTTCGTGTACATTCAAAAGAGCGTTCAGGTTTCATCGCAAGTAACCCATGGATTGGGAGGCTTTGGCTGCAATCGGTGTTGTGTGTTCGGACCAAAAATGATTTGAAGTGAATGTAATGCCTGCATACTTATATTTTGAAGCGGTATCAACATTCTCTTTATTGATTTTGTATGAATACAGTGAAGTTGTAGCATTCCGAGTAAATGACTTTACATTTTGACATATTCAATGTAATTGACCATTTGCTGTGTGGCTTACTAATTGGACCGATGTCATGCTCAATAAACAGATAGTCGTCTGTATCTTATATTGGGCGACAGGCAATGCAGTCGTCGGCAAATATTCTCACAGTAGCTGGTACGTCATGAATATACTTCGTTAATTGGTTTGTTATTGAGAAATGCCAGTTTACAAGAGCTAGCTATATTGACGATCAGTCAAAAAAACGAAGAAGGAGGCATTTTATGAGTGACGGGACCTCGGAAAAATATTTGTTCCAGTGTCTTCCCTTTCGCAATTACAAGTTTCAAATTTTCTTTTCATCTTCTTGAACGCGTTAACTCATATTTTCTAAACCATGCGGCATCAAGACAATTACCTTCACCTCATCTGTGAATTTGGGCTGTCCATCGAGCCCGCGACGTGGCGGAGGGGCAACGTCGCTCTGTCCCGACGTGGGAGTGGCCCGCTGCCCGCACGCACACAGCAAAGGACCATAATAAAATTATTCATCCATCCGTCCATCTGTGAACTCCGCGACCTTATATTCCATCTTATTTTTCTTTTCCTGCACTCTTGCTCCTAGGCCTTCCTATCACCGATCCCGGTCACTGCACAAAGTTTCATGTATATTCATTGTCACAGTTCGTCTCTTTTACATTCTCCTGTGCTGCTTTCCGCCGTTCTAGTAGAGTTTGGCGGGGAGGGGGGGGGGGTGACCAGTATGGCTAGAACGAAAGCTTCTGAGATGAAGAGATGTTTCGTAACATTTCCGCTAGGAGAAGGGTGCACGGGTGGGCAGTGGCATCGTAAATCAGCCGGTTTATCTATATTTCAACTTTCTTTGTTTCTTTCTTTTTGTCTGTCTTTCTTTCTTTCTTTCTCTCACCCTTTTCCTCTCTCTCTCTTTCTCTCTCGTGAAAGCAGCAATGGTCAAATTCTTCGCAACATCCGCCTTTTAGTTGTGGTTTTCTTAAGTACTTCGCTCTGGTGCAGACGCTTACCTTCAGGTTGACCCCAATTACTTGGTCAAACTCCTCGTCCGTCGTGTCAACAATTGACGAATGCTTGGCTACGCCAGCGCTGTTCACCAAGATGCTGACGGGAAGGTGTTCGGTCTCCTTGATATCGGCGAGCAGTTTTTCCACTGAAATCGTGTCACTGACATCCACGAAAGCTGCTCTGTGGGTAGCAGTGTCTGTAAAAGGGAAAAAAAAAAAGATGCAAAGTACTCGTATGGGTACACCCGAAACGTATAGCACTAAAGCACTTTCTTTTAGTGGTGATTGGATTGCTGTTATAACTCTACTTCATCGACTTACCCCCGTATTCACAAACGCTCCTTGACTCGACTTTCACCTCTCACCTGACAGAGCTGCGCACTGCACCACTGCTCGGCTGAAAATGACGCTGCGCTACTCAAGATTAGCATCAAATTATCACTGATATGCAGTGACTTTCCCTGCCTAGAGATGGCGCTCCCATCGGCTTTCTCAAGTGAAGGTGGAGCGTTGAGTGAAGGGGCGTTCTAGAATACGGGGGTTAGATACACATGCTTGAGGTAAGACACAAATATTTTATGCGCTTGAAGCTCACACACTTGAAGAAAGAAAAAAAAATTAGGAGGAGGGGGGGGACGCGTGACTCTTTTTATTATGTCTGAATTCCCACGTATGTGACTCTGTTCAAAGAGACGGTTAAGCACCATTTTGGGTGTCACGACTCTCCGAGGCGAGTATAACGGCCTCCGATAGAGTTCACGTGTCCCCTTTTAGAGAGACGTGAACGTGGCAAATCGGGAGATAAAAAAAACAGACAAAAACCTTTTTTCTCCTAGATTGCATTAAAAAAAACAAGGGAAACAAAAGGAACTGTGTACTGAAGGGCTAACTAATGTCCAGTGCGCACATACACAGAACACACTCTGTTTTCTTCTCTCATGTTGTTGACCACGGGTCTCAAACAGCGGCCCGCGGACGTTTTGCTGGTGGTCCAAAGCTTTTGACATTGCTTAATCGTTCTCGCATGATTTTGTTAGTATATTTGTTGCGAATAAAAATTTCTTGTTCGGGCAGGCGATAGAGATTGCGCTGGTCTGAAGCATTCTTTTTTTTTTATATACATTCCATATAAACGGTCACCACAAAGGGAAACATAGCCATGAAACAAAACATATATACATTTCAAAGTTGGCGTTCATATTGTTACGAGTAATTTCAGTCATTTCGGAGACCAGTACTGATGCTTCTCGAATTCTGATGCTACGTCTCATTCCTAAATGGTTCATATTGGAAATGGACCATTTCTGGTCATTATATTTCTGGTCCAAAGTAAACATGGGAAATATTTTTTTTTCCTAATGGCCGCGTTTGATTACATTGAGCTTGCTCCCCCCCCCCCTCCCCGTCACCAAGCTTAAACATGCTTCCTTCACTGTTCCAGTGCTTGCGGGGCTAAATTTTGTGACGACGTCCTGCTAGGTGAAGTTAACTTGAGAACCCTGTTATAAGACAAATTATTATGCTTAGTGAGAGAGCAATCGTCATCTCGCCAGTATTAGTCACGAGGGCCTAGGACGTGGCCTGGGCTCAAGTTACCTTGGCACAAGGACGTATTCCCTAATCTTCTCGTCACAAAATAAATACGTTTGTACTACCAACTTTTACAGACAATAAATCTCTTACGGTCTTCGCGAAGACAGACATTAGAGGCAAGGAGTATAACACGGAAAGCGACGACTACGATTATTCATTAACGCAAACCATAAATGAACACTGTTCCATCGCTTTCTTTATTTCTTAAAATTATACCACTGTATCTTGTTATGGCCCCGCCGCGGTGGTCTAGTGGCTAAGGTACTCGGCTGCTGACCCGCAGGTCGCGGGTTCAAATCCCGGCTGCGGCGGCTGCATTTCCGATGGAGGCGGAAATGTTGTAGGCCCGTGTACTCAGATTTGGGTGCACGTTAAAGAACCCCAGGTGGTCAAAATTTCCGTAGCCCTCCACTACGGCGTCTCTCATAATCATCAGTGGTTTTGGGACGTTAAACCCCACATATCAATCAATGTATCTTGTTATGCCTTTAAATTTTTTTTTTTCAGTAAGCTTTGTTATACAGTTTGTACTTGTTGAACAAAGGTGGGGGGCCTTTGCGCTGCATACGAGTATTCAGAAAAACTTTCGCGGAACCAATCTTGATAAATCGTTTCAAAGCGTGTATATTTTACGCTCACATCTTTACCCCTCCCTCTCGTTCCCGCCTCATTTTTTTTCTTGAGTGGAGCCTCAGGTGGCGCTTAACGAAAGGTTAAACAAATGTCAGTTTTTTCACATTGTTGTTGCTTTTTTCGCGCTTTGCGTGAGTATTTTTCTGTACCGCCCATTCAGCGCAGTTCCCCAACCTTTGTTCAACCCGGATGGCTTTCACTGACGTCGCTGTAACATCCGCGTTTGAACACCAACATGGCGGGAAGAAAGCTTTTTGATGTCACGCTAGTGTTAACAGCTCATCGCTGGCTGCTTCTTTCGTTGTTCATGCGCAGTGTCCCAGTGACGTTCCAGTGACGTCGTTATCGCAGCGGAGAAGGTTAATCGCCTCGCGATTATGTTCGTGTGGTGTCATCTAAAACGCCGTGTTGGAGTCTTTGCGTGCGTCACTTGATGTCACGTGTAAGCTATTGGCGCACGTAGGCGACCATCTAGTTGTTCGAGAGAACGGATACGACATACACACCGGGTAACTCTGCCGCCACGACCTGAGCAGCGTGCAGGTCGACATCGGCGACCACTACGCTGGCTCCTTGGGCGGCCAGGGCGTGGCAAGTGGCCTTGCCTATGCCGCATGCTCCTCCGGTCACCAGGGCTAGACGACCGCGCAGTGACATATTCAGTCTGCTAACAGGAAAAGCTGGGTGCGAGACCTGCGAGGGGTATACATCCTCTGTAACCTTTAAAACTTTATCAGATTGTAGCCTATCGGGAGAAAAATTACGAAGAGGGGTGCAAGGAGAATTGATGTACTTATGGCATGCCTTCGAACAGAGTCACCAATTAGGGCAAGGTTATGCGTTCCTGCATGTTATGGTCAGAAACTGTCCAAGTCTTCCTCCTGCAATCGTGGGTCGATGCCAGAGCACTTATGGCCATGACCCATGATTGCACGATTTCTCGCGCAATTGTGGGTCGATATGCTTCCTATGGACCAGAGAAAGAGCATTTTTAAGATGTAAAAAAAAATGCAACCAACTCTAAGCGTGAGCAGTAACGATTGTTGGTTTCAATGCAGTGGGGGGAGCATATTATTAAAGTTTTTGCAATAAAGGATACGGAACAGAAAGCTCTCAGCTTCCCAAGCCATTAGCAAAGTATTCTACTCTTATAAATAATCTATTTGACGTAGGCCAACAGTGTTCGTTGTTAATAACATTTAGAAATTCCAATACGGCTGCTATATTCTCGGACCTATATAATTTTTTTTATACGGGGTGTTTCAAGAAGTGTGTCCAGAATTCTCGAAAATCAGGGAAATCAACTATTTACATGATTTTGTTGCAATTACTTCTTCTGTAGCCTTAGGCATCTTCAGATGGCTAAATATGTCATTTTAGGTGGCAATTAAGAAAATCAGAACAATTAACTACATGTTTCATTAGTGGAGTTAACCCGTGGTGTTAGGTGGCCAGGTTTAGAATGAGTGAGCTTTGTTAATCAACCACCAACCGACGTCGTTGCGTGGATGTGCGGGCTGCACCTGCAATTATAGCACGCCTGGTGCGTATACCTATATATGTAAAACAAAAGGTGGGAGGCCTATACCTCTGCAATCATTGTCTTGAAGAGTCTTGACTCTGCTTGTTGCACTCATCGGTTCTTCGGTATCGGTTTTAGCCGTTGAATCCGGTCATGATGAGACCTCAATAGATGATGGAGACCACTTTTTCGAAATACCGAAGCTGCAAGGGGTCTCGCATGAAGAGATTCTATTTCGGGCCCCCTTCTTACATAACATCCCGATTCGACTAATGAAAGAAGTTTTTATTTTGTTTTTCTTGATTATTGTTCCAAGTGATGTCTTTATTCGTATTAAAGTGTGTAAAGGTACAGACGTAGTAATTGTGGAGGCATGAAACAAATATCGTATTTATCTGATTTGTGAGAAATTTGGACGCATTCATTGAAACACCCGGTATAAAGGACATCGCTATGACCTCATTAAAACACCAATTTGGTAAGCGCTTACGGTCTGAAACATCTATCATTTAAATTGGTCTATGCTGCACCCCTGTTAGCCTTTACGTGGTTAACAAGGTCACGGAAGATCACCTTAGGTAACAGTAGCGGCGTAGCGCCAATGCTTACATTATCGAACTTTCCTGTTTCAGTGCCCGCCCTAACCACGCACGTAAGGCTTCGCGCTGCTAACCTCAAGTATATGCTTGATTTCTGGTCGCATTTTTATGGATGCAAAATGCAAGAACAGTAGTGTACTCAGTTTAAGAAGCAAGTCAAAGAACCTCAGGTGGTCTAAATCCGGTGTGCATAGCGCATACCTGGTTAGCATATCGTGGTCTTCGCACGTAAATCTCCGATAATCAATCATTCAACCTCCGTGACGAAATCGTGGTTAGGTTGTTTACGATAAGTCGCTGTTTACAAAAGTTGCACGTTTAGCTGTTTCGCTCTTTAGCCCCGCGTTGTATTCCCACTTGGGGTTAAAATGCGAGTTCTATGAAAATGTGCAAATATCAGACTACAGTTCCTGCATTTGCAATTTTAACAATGTTACCTCTAAAGCACTTGTGTAAGAGCCGAAACCAGTGCCAACTATTCGGGACGTCAAACGTATCGTTGCAGAATGTGCCCGAACAACATGAAGCAGCATTTGTGAAGAAATTAAAAATAAAAACGTCATCCTGACTGAAGTGAGCGTGCTCAAGAACACTGCTTACGCTATATACATCATTTATTCTGAAAGACATTTTAGTGATTTCTGAGCAAGTGGACATTTCAATAGCCAAGGCGACAAAACGATCGCAAGTGGCACTAACGAATGAAGAATTCTCCAAATTCGACGCCCCAGATTCACCACCATTGGTGAAAACGTTGTGATAGACAGATGTACTGAGGCTACTTACTGCGTCGAGGCGTAAACCACCACTGGGGCACGAAACGCTGAGCCTATTCAACGCTGACGTTCAAGCAAAACTGACAGCTAGTGCAGCGACGTGTGATGTGCAGGTGTTTTATAGATGAACCTAGTAGAGTTAATAGAAATAAATACCTGCGACTTCAACCCCATCAAACTACGAGGATCAACACGGGGACAATCATACTGCAGTGGCCGCGTTCCTTCCCTTTTTTCTCCTGGTTCTTTTTTGGTACGCAATGAAAGTTAATAATTATTCCAGGTTTCATTTGTAACTGCTGCCGTAGAATACCGCACAGGTCATTACCGAACAAGCGTCGCTCATCTAGCATGACTGCAAACGTGGCATATGATTGTACAAAAATATTCTAACAGCAAAAGCGGGCATCATGGGAGGAACACAAGAAACATCTCACATTTATCCGACCAAACTTTTCTTTATTCGCAAATATTTATTTACTAATACTGCTGTCTCAATTATTGAGACATAGCAGGAGTGGGCACAAATGTTGAACGGAGAAAAAATACAATTTAACAAATAATGCATGCTCGCGCGGTTCTTTTTCAAATTTCTGAGCATCGAGTCTGTGCAGAAACCCGTCAAGCTTATTCCATATATCCACAGTCGGCGTGAAAAAAAAAGAAAAACTTGAAACAACTAGCATTAGTTCTAAAGGGCGTAATATTTAGGAGATCTCATTCTATATATCCACAGTCAACGGGGGAAAAAAATTTGAAACGACTAACATTAGCTCTAAAGGGCGTAATATTTAGGAGCATCCAGAAGCGGCAACGAAACAAATGGGCGTTGCAACATTCAAGCTGGTGTGAACTATTTTATGCAAAAGGATGACACGATCGCAAGTGCGCCGATGTTTGACATGCTGTTGCGATAAAAGGTGCGCATGCGAACTAGGAGATAACCTTTGATCATAGCGACGAAATATAAACCTATAGCTTTTTTTACAGATTTTAGCATAGGTCATATTTGTGCGGAGGTGACCAAACAACCGACGCATACTCGAATATGGGCCTGGCCAATATTTTGTACGCCGCCAGTTTGCATTCTTTTGTGGAGTTGCTTACGTGCGTCGGAGATACCGAAGTTTTCGAAGAGCCTTGTTGCCGTTTGTTTCAACGTGCGTGTGCCATTTAAATTTGTTGCGAGGTATTTAAACTCAGCGACACGAGCTAGAATGGCACTGTCCTCATTAGCATATGGAAAATAAATTTAAATTTGTTGCGAGAGTTACACCAAGGTATTTAAACTCAGTGACACGAGCTATACTGACACTGTCATTATAGCATATATGCTAAATAAAGAGGTTGTTTCTGATTTGAAAAGGTCATGGACAGTCTTTTTGACGTTGATAGACATTTGCCAAGTTTCACTCCACTTACAGAACAATGGAAAAACACTATCCAACACTTCCTGATCTTCAACATTAGAGATTGTGTTATATATAACGCAGTCGTCTGCATACATTCCAAATTTAATAGGAGGGAGTATCACTGATAATTTCTGCTGCGTCATTTGTATAGATAGTAAAAAATAGCGGCCCTAGAACCAAGCCATGAAGCACCCCTCACGTGATTTGTCCATCCGATGACTTCACGCAGTTAAACGTTACAAATTATGTGTGCCACCGCATGTAATCTGTAATCCGGTCAACTAGCTTGATTTCACTGAAAAAATGCTCGAAGTTTAACGAAAAGCTCAGTAGGACAAACCAAGTCAAAGATTTTAAAATAGCCAAGGAATATGGCGTCTATCTGTCCTCGGTCGGGAAGAGAAGAAGCCATGCCGTGCGTAAATTCAAGCAACTGTGTGACAGCAGAACAGCCAGCACGAAAGCCGAGCTGTGGTCGGGAAAGTATGTTCTGGGCATTTAGGTATTCAACAATGTATATGAATGATATGCTCCAAAAGTTTAGAGCCGGTAGAAAGTAAAGATATTGGCCAGTAATTTTCTCTTAATTGCTTGTTTCCAGAATTGAATACAGGCACGACGTTTATACCAATTTCCGCATCTGTGAAACTGTTCCAGAGAGTATTGATTTGTTAAATATTACTGTAAGTTAATTAGCACACCACTCCGACGACCTCTTTAGAAACATATTTGGTATACCGTCTGGGCCAGAGCCTTTCGTAACATCAAGACTTAGTATGATATTATGTACTCCGAGGGAGATTATACTTCAAGATCAGGAAAAGCAGGCACATTGCTGCATGCAGAAAATGAAAGATTGATGCCGTTATCAATAGCCAAAACATAATTGAATTAATTATTAAAGGCATTTGCTATACCTGCAGAATTTGGGCAGGATTGGTCATTAAGAATTAACAATGAAGATATAGATGAGACATGATAAATCAATCTGAAGAAGATGGATGAATTTTTTTTTCATAAATGTAGCCGAACTATTGCTAAAGTAGTAGTTCCTATCCGATTTCATTTTAGCGCTTAATTTACTTTTCAGTGTGTTAAATGAAGAAACATATTCCTTGCACCTGGATTGACGATTATTACGTAAGCGCTTCACGCGACGACTGAGTTGAATTTTTTATCTATTATACCTTGGGTTTATTGGGTTTCGTTTATTATATTTTAGAGGCACATTCTGTAAAAGGAATTCACGCACAATGTCACAAAACGTAAGAAGCAGCGTATTTACACTGCAATATTGGCTACAACATTCATACTCATCTAAATATGAGGCTGAAGTGTCCAATAGGAAAATGTCGTCAGTTTAGTAAAGTTGAAAACAGTTTTGATTTCAAATTTTTCAGGGGGTGCGCTAAGTTCGAGGCGACTTCGATAGCTTTGTGGTCGGGTAACACCTCGATAACTTCACATTTCATACTGTGCGAGAAACGTTGCTGGTTTACAAATATAATGTCTAATATTGCGTCCTCTCTTGTCACAGTATCCACAAGTTCAAGATCAAGTTGGGAGCCGATCGATGGGAAACGTAGTGAGGTAATCAGGGTTAACAGTGAAAGGGCCTCAGTGGAAGTGCCGACGTTTCGATCTTTTTCAAAGGCGCCTTGTCATTTTTGGCGTGTTATATTTAAGGGGGGTTAGTAGTGACGTCATCTACTGGTAGTGGCGAGTGTCCCTGTTGGTGATCGGTGTCTGAAGAAAAAATCTATAAAGCAGAAGAGCGCAGCCCTAGCTTCATTTCAAGTTTCCAGTAGCAGCAAAAAAACAGCGGTTATCACTTCTATAGCATTTGTAATTTATTTATTTTATTTATTTATTTATTTATTTATTATTTATTATTATTTATTTATTTATTTATTTATTTATTTATTTATTTATTTCATCATACTGCGGGCCGAGTGCCGGCCCAAAGCAGGAGGGGCATACATATCACCGACATCAACGTGAACAAGCGTATCCAGAATTTACACACTCAAAAAAAGGTTGAATAGACAGACGAACAATTGCATGAGCAAGCGGCACTACAATAACGCATTCATAGGTAAGGTTACAAAGTGGACGCAAATGAAAAGGCGCATAAAACAACCAACACATCAGACAAAAAAAAAAACACTGGAATCATATATTCACTAACAAATATTCCTCTAGACATTGATGAAAATCGTGTGCTTGAACGACGAACTCTGGTAGACTATTCCATTCTGATATAGTTCTCGGAAAAAAACTATTATAAAAAGCAACAGTACGAGCAAATATAGGCTTCAATGCATGGGTCGACGTGTGACGCGTTCTTCTTGATGTCAACTGCCCTAGAAATGACGGTGGCGTTATATTCATCCTTTTGCACAGAATGCTCTGCAGGAAAAATAAACGGGCTATCTTCTTACGTGTTTCCAGGGGCGTAATCTGATTATTCTGCATTAGCTCTGAGATAGCCTCGTGTCTCCTATACTTTCCAAAAATAAAGCGAACTGCTTTCCTTTGAATTCTCTCGAGCTGGTGAATGTCTTTTTTTGAATATGGGTCCCAAAGCGCACATGCGTATTCTAGTTTTGGCCTTACTAACGCTAAATACGCCAAAAGCTTGATATTAGAAGGCGTGTCCTTAATTTTGCGTCTAAGAACGCATAGTTTACGAAACGCCGAGGAGCTAATATCTGTTATATGAGCCGTCCACGTTAAATCGTTGGTCAGTGTGACGCCTAAATACCGGTATTGCGTAACCTGCGGAATCACTGACTGATTTAGGCGGTATTCGAATACGCTTGGTTGCTGTTTTCTTGAGATGCGGAGTAGCACTGACTTTGAAGCATTTAATTGCATTTTAGAGTCCCCACACCACTGATCTATTTTCAACAGTGATTCCTGGAGAACTTCGTGATCGTTAATTGAATTTATTTCTTTGAATATAATGCAGTCATCTGCAAATAACCTTATGCTAACTGATTCCGGTAATATTTCTGTTATATCGTTTATGAAAATAATAAATAGCAACGGACCGAGCACACTGCCCGGTGGTACTCCAGACAGAACTGCAAAGTAGGTGATACACAGCAATATTGGCTACAACATTCATACTCATCTAAATATGAGGCTGAAGTGTCCAATACGAAAATGTCGTCAGTTTAGAAAAGTTGAAAACAGTTTTGATTTCAAATTTTTCAGGGGGTGCACTAAGTTAGAGGCGACTTCGATAGCTTTGTGGTCGGGTAACCCCTCGATAACTTCACATTTTACACTGTGCGAGAAAAGTTGCTGGTTTACAAATGCAAGGCCTAATATTGCGTCCTCTCTTGTCACAGTATCCACAAGTTCAAGATCAAGTTGGGAGCCGATCGATGGGAAACGTGGTGGGGTAACCAGGGTGAACAGTGAAAGGGCCTCAGTGGAATTGCCGACGTTTCGATTTTTTTTGAAGGCGCCTTGTCATTCTTGGCGGGTTATATTTAAGGGGGGTTAGTATAGTGACGTCATCTCCTGGTAGTGGCGAGTGTCCCTGTTGGTAATCGGTGTCCGAAGAAAAAATCTATAAAGCAGAAGAGCGCAGCCCTCGCTTCATCTCAAGTTTCCAGTAGCAGCAAAAACAGCGGTTATCACTTCTATAGCATTTGTAATTGTATGTTATCTGCGAGATGAAACAGACGTGCTTGAGACGGGTGTTCGCCATGCTGCCACCGGACCCACTAAAAGGATGGTTCCACGTTGCCGCTCTTATATCTTTGGGCAGTACAGATGATGGTTCCACCATGCCGTGACCAGTACATGTTGGTTGATCGATTGATGATTGATTGATATGTGGGGTTTAACGTCCCAAAACCACCATATGATTATGAGAGACACCGTATTGGAGTGCTGCGGAATCGTTGATTGATGATTGATTTGTGGGGTTTAACGTCCCAAAACCACCATATGATTATGAGAGACGCCGTAGTGGAGGGCTCCGGAAATTTTGACCACCTGGGGTTCTTTAACGTGCACCCAAATCTGAGCACACGGGCCTACGACATTTCCGCCTCCATCGGAAATGCAGCCGCCGCAGCCGGGATTTGAACCCGCGACCTGCGGGTCAGCAACCGAGTACCTTAGCCACTAGACCACCGCGGCGGGACCAGATGGTTGATCGAAAGCACGTCAGTAGACAGGAATTCCTTCGCAAGGTCAGCAGCTACGCATTCCTGTCCCGCTTAAGATATATGGCGTCACCGCCAGTTCGAGCACCCCGGAATCGTGGTATATATAGCCTGCGTGGTGTGTCGCTTGTAGAATCATGGATCAGAACATTGGGGCGGGCGGTTATAGCAGCAATCTGCAAGATGGAACAGACGTGTTTCAAACGGGTGTCCACCATGTGCCACCAGACCGACTCAGCCTTTAAACCTTCCTTATTGCACAGCCGTGAATAGCCATACGTTTTACGTGGTGTAACGTCAAAATAAAACACCCACAAACAAAGGCAAGATAAAAATTGAGCAACCAACTTTGTAATGACGTTCAGAACTTCAGGATAATGTGTTTGCATAAACATTTATGCACTATAGATATTATTACGGACGAAGCTGCTGATAACTTCTGGGGTGATAACGGTGACCCCTTTAGGCACGAGTTATCTGCAGCTTGAAGAGCCCTTTTTCTGTGCCTTCTATCGTGGTTGCCCCGAGCTACTGAACAACCTGTGTCTGTGACTCTGCGGGCTATTCAAGAATGCCTAATAATTCTGAATAAGAATGACTGACAGTGCTGCCCTGTGACGACTGCGAATGTACTCGTATATAGTGACGATGAGGCATCTCTTCTGTGACTGCCCTCGGTACTGTGTCACAGTGCAGTCACACATCCCCAGCAGGTTGTCTTAGTGAATTAAACAAAGCATGTTTCATCGGCAGAATAGACATCAGCCCTTTGTGTAGTCCCCGCAAGCTACCTTTCTCGCTGTTTACAACACTGCGCGGTAAATTGTATCAATCAAATTGTTGCGAGGTAGAGGTATAAGTAGTGCGACCAGTATGAAACGCCTTAAACTTGGAACGTGGCAGCCATTATCCGATATCTCTCAACTCAACTTTGTCCTCCTCACTATTGCTTCTCTGATCGGTGTCATTGTTACGACAATATCCTTTCAATTACCATTTCGAATAAATCCGCATTCATGGCTGAGTAATTTTCGGAAGCCAGGAACACGATTATAAAACCGAATAAGATGAAACAGCACTCGATGGTACACCCAAGACACGTTCGGAGACCAGTGTTCGCGACTTTGGCTGAGATTTTAACTCTACTGGGCTCACTAGTGAGCCCATGTGCAGCCACAAAACGGAACAAAAGCCATTCACAATCAGTCAAGCTCGAGTTAGCTTTATTTTTTCGTACGTGAATGATGCCCAAAAAAGCAGGGTGAGTGGGATTTCGAAAATCGTTTACATTTTGAATCCTCCGGTTACTTCCAGGACAGCTCCTGTCACGAAGGAACTTTTCGGAGAGCAGAGAAATACAATAGCGTCGGACACTTCATCCGGCTGGCACATTCGGCCAAGGGGTGTCAGTGCGATGCCCAGTCTTTGCCATTCGTCACTGAGCGCATCGATCATCGGGGTCTGTGTCAGTGATGGTAGCACGGCGTTACAGCGGATGCCGTGCTGCGCCAGCTCTTGAGCGACCGACTTGGTCAGAGCCACGACGCCACCCTTGGAAGCTGTGTACGCCGCCAGGCCGTAGAGTCCGCATTTGCCCAGGATGCTGGAAACGTTTACGATGACGCCCTCCGTCACACCACAGGAAATCATGGCCCGCGCCGCAGCTCTTGTCACCAGGAAAGTGCCCTACGAAAGACCGCAAACTGAACGATAACCTATCACCTTTCACTTCAAATACTTGCAGCTGCATCGTCAGGCATGCATTAAACAGAGCATGTCGCTATTTGGGGAATACTTAATGCGAATAATTGGCTAGAGTAGCAAATAAACCCGCCCAGTGTTTGTCGGGAATTGTGCTAAGTCCGAACTAAACACCGTTACAATACAGAAGTCGATCGACTTGGTGTCGATTCTGTAAGACCACCTTTTGTATGGAGTCTTTCTGCATCTGCAGTCTCTTGTCTGTCATGGAGTTGGCCTATAGCCATGTAGATTGCTTGTGTTATATCAGCAGTGACATGTGCAGCCAGTTTTTTCCATAATGTAGCACATGTCGTATGTGTCATTATGCATGTGCGTTCATTAGAGTTTTAACGAGGAATACGTGTACGTAAGCTGCCATAGGTATAAGCTGTACGGATACGGATCTATTAGCTACACGTTTTCGGAATGCGCTCGCAAGGGACCAACCGCGTTGCATCTCAGAACGTTTTCAGAACACTCTATTTAAAAATATCATCACTAAACACGATTCGACGTTGTGATTCCTGTACCAATATTTCATATCTGATTCCTGGTCGTGCCAACCGACTGTGAAACTTGGGAGGGTTACCTTAGATAAGCCTCTGCCAGATTAACTATACGCTTAGAAATCATAGACAAAAGCTTCACGAGTGTTGCGAAAGTTCGCCTCCAAGAACGTATACTCATAATTGAACACGAGATGTCAGACATGCCCAAATAATTATTTTATGACCCGATCAGAATAGCAAACTCGATTGATTGATATCTGGGTTTTAACGTCCCAAAACCACCACATGAGAGACACCGTAGTGGAGGGCTCCGGAAATTTCGACCACGTGCACCCAAATCTGAGCACATGGGCCTACATCATTTTCGCCTCCATTGAAAACGCAGCCGCCGCAGCCGGTAGTCGATCCCGCGACCTGCGAGTCAGCAGCCGACTATACCTGTGCCACTATACCACCGCGGCGGGGCAGAATAGACAACTCAAAAACTTCTCATATCTAGTGCATTAATAGTGATAAATTGAACTGTATATTTTCCTGCATTTGGACCACTAACCTTGAGATTTACTTCAATGATCTTGTCGAAATCTTCATCCGTCGTGTCGACAAGGGAACAAATCTTGGCTATGCCAGCACAATTCACTACTATGCTGAAGGGTAGAGATTCGGACTCCTTGATGTCAGCAAACAGCCTGTCAACGGAATTCGAGTTACTGACGTCCAGAAAAGCTGATCTGTGGGTCCCAGTTCCTGTAAAGTTGGCAATGTACATGGCAGTCATAACGTCACCTGTTATCTTTCGCACTTTGCATTAGGGTGTACTTCCCGTGCCCTTGAAATGTTTCTCTATGAATTGTTTGGCTTATTGCGCATCACGTATTCGTCCTTTACTGTAAAATCTTTAGAAAGCATCCTCCTCTCCCTACGGTGAAAGACAATCGGAGAAGTTGTCGGGGAAGCGGGACTTGCTAGGTTGCACCTAAATTCAATATGGTGGTGTAAGAGCCTGTAAAAAGAACACACACTCAAGTTTTTAATGAAATGCCTTATTCAATACGCAGGCATTTACTGATTTTACTACTGAGCTGTTGGACATACTCATCTGAAGTTTAATGTGTTATGACTAGGGGGGAAATATGTTTTTTTTTAATGTCCCGATGATTTCTGACTACTCAGAATGCAAAGCCGAGGCACCACGCTGTAAACGTTCTAAGTAATCGTGCTCCAACCTTGTGTTCCTGGAAACCACTATACTTTAGAGTCTATAGCGGAAAACAGCTTGAAAAAAAAAAAGACAACGAGAGGGGAGGGCGGAAGCTTATTGTTGTTAAACCATACTGAAAATCAATCAAACAGAACAGTGGCCATTTGTCAAGTTAGTGCATGAACTTGTGCAACTTGTTGCGAAAAAAAAAAATGCTAAGAGAGGCCGTTCAAACAGTCGCATCACGAAGCTTGATCGAACTTGAGTGAACTCTCCAAAATAGGTTGTGATGTATTTATTGATGGGCTATTTGGTGAGCTATGAAATTTCGTGAATCAGCCCACAAAAGGATTGGAGAAAAACATTATATGACGCAAAATTACTAAAATATACGCGAGAGACAATAGTTGATGTCTACATGACACCTTGACATGATCGTAAGTTGACCAATACGGAACGTCGTCGTTGAAATAGGTCCCTCCCCTCGCGAAAACGCTGGCTCCAATGACGCTTCATGTTCGACAATTTTTCAAAACTACACGTGTGCATTATGGAACAGCGTTTGTGTTTTCGTCATTGTGCGTGAGTGGGTTCTTTGTGTACCACTTCATTGAATTTCCGAATAGTAGTACTTTGGTAAATTCTCTCTTTGTGTTCGAAGCAACAGGCTGACGGGAGTGTTTTAGCCGGTCTCTTGACATAGCTTACAAGTTCTGGAGCTTAACGCGTCTTACATCGCTACATGTTACAGCGAAAACATATATGTTTATATACCTCAGATATTCCGAAAATGATAAATTCCTACGGAAATATATATATATATATATATATATATATATATATATATATATATATATATATATATATATATATATATATATATATTCAAACTAAACTTGTCTTCCTGAACATATGGGTGTTTTATTTTATTTTCTGCTGATTCTGTTGAAAAGACGAATAACAACATTTGTATCTATATGCTCTGAAACTATGTATTATGTGTTTGTTCCTTTTGTTTCAAGCAAATAGGCTCACTCCGGTGGTCAGTTTGTATGCATTTTCTTTTAGCTGTTTTCTCTTGACATCTGCTTCTCCTGTAATCGATTTATTTCCACTTTTATATAACATCGTCTCATGTGTACTATTTAAGACGGGCCCCGTACTAGCTAATAGACTATGGAACTGAATTTTTCTTGCGTAACTTGTAAGATTAGATGCGTGTAATAACCAACAATTCCTAATTTTGTTATTGTTTACATCGCAAACACACGCGGCCTTTGATCGGCAAGGAGAACGGGGACCCACCAGGTAGCTCCGACGCCACGACCTTGGCTGCATCTTGGTTGAGATCTGCGACGACCACCCTGGCTCCGTGGGCTGCCAGTGCGTGGCAAGTGGCCCTGCCTATGCCACTCGCTCCTCCGGTGACCAGGGCTAGCCTGCCACGCAGCGACATGTCTTGAGGTTCGCGAGGAGTACGTACTTCGCACACCTATATGTGCTCCGTCTCATCCTTATCTACCACGTCGGCATTATCGCGTGCGACTTCCAAGGACGGCACATTGTGCAATAAAAGAAAGGGTGTTGGCAGAGCCTTGTAGGTTGACCACGGGCCGGGATTGTGTAAGTTGTGGGCTGGCGCGACACGTGCTGTGAGTTGTGCGTGGCCTACCCACGATTTGTCTTTAAAATCGGCAGTGATGGCGCTGCCCGAACAGTCAGTGACGGACCGCTGTGATAGATAGATAGATAGATAGATAGATAGATAGATAGATAGATAGATAGATAGATAGATAGATAGATAGATAGATAGATAGATAGATAGATAGATAGATAGATAGATAGATAGATAGATAGATAGATAGATAGATAGATAGATAGATAGATAGATAGATAGATAGATAGATAGATAGATAGATAGATAGATAGATAGATAGATAGATAGATAGATAGATATGTGGGGTTTAACGTCCCAAAACGACCATATGATTATGAGAGACGCCGTAGTGGAGGGCTCCGGATATTTCGACCACCTGGGGTTCTTTAACGTGCACCCAAATCTGAGCACACGGGCATACAGCATTTTCGCCTCCATCGAAAATGCAACCGCCGCAGCCAAGATTCGATCCCGCGACCTGCTGGTCAGCAGCCGAGCCCCTTAGCCACTAGACCACCACGGCGGGGTGTTGCTGTGCGCACTGGTGGAGTGTGGCCCGGTGGGGCCAAGGGTATCGTGTGTTAGTGCCCGCGAGCAATTATATTGGGCAGTTTTGTTACGCTATTCCAAGTTCGTGTTATTAGACGTTTATTTTCGAGTTTCAGCCGACGAGCATCATATCTGTGGCAGCAGAACGTCTCGAATCCTTCAAAGTGTAGTAAGGGAAGAAATCATGAGCTACCAGCTGCTCATAACAGGTACATTTGTTACAGTAGTTTAGCACGTAAGTTGGAAAGTCTGGGCTAGAAAGTCAACGCCCGCAAACGAACACCTGAAATGACGGTGTAGTTAGCGGTATACCTCCAGGTATATTATTTATTTATTTATTTATTTATTTATTTATTTATTTTATTGATACTGTAAGCCTTAACAGGCTCATACAGGAGTGGGAAGAAATTATACAGATTGTCATCTTCACATTAGACCACAGAACAAAAAAAAAACAGTACAGACTACTCTAAACAAATACAAATTACAACTGTACATCTAGTCGAAGAACCAAGAATGTCCCAAGAATGAACCAAGAATGTGCGATACAGAATAAAACACCACAGGCTAACAGGGAAGAGTGCATATTAGACACAGATCTGAGAATTGAAACATCGAGTGGTATACAAATCAAAACGTACATTCAATGAAAAGTTGCGCCATTATTCTACAACGCTGCAACTTACTGATCCAAAAACTTTTCAAGATTGGCAGTGAATGATTCGAGAGATTCTGAGGACACTATATCACGTGGCAGGTTATTCCATATTTCTATTACTGACGGAAAGTAGGAATACCTAAATGAATTGCAACGGGAGATGAAAGGCCTGATACTCTTGTCGTGGTTTGTTCTAGCGGAGCGCTGATATGGTGGTTTCAAGTACTCGTGTTTGTTGATGTTAATCTTGTCATGATAAAGCAGATAAAGAAATTTTAATGCAGCTATGCGTCGCCGGATCGCCAGTGTTTGAATGCTTGCCCTATTGCGGAGCGCGGTTATGTTGACATCTCGAGAATACTGAGAATACACAAATCGGAGCGCTTTATTTTGTATTCCCTCCAGCTGGTTAAGAAGGTAAGTTTGATGCGGATTCCAGATTACACTGCCGTATTCGAGGATTGGTCGTACAAGGCATTTATAACTTGTTAGTCTAACTTTGGAAGGGGCTAGAGCGAGTTTCCTGCGAAGATATCCCAGCTGTCTGTACGCTTTTGTGCACGTCTGGTTAATGTGAACATCCCATTTTAATTTGTTTGTGATGGTAACGCCCAAATATTTCACCGAAGCGGCCTCTGCTACGTGTAGTCCATTTAAATGATACGCAAATTTCAAGGGTGCTCTCTTTCGGGTTATATGCATATACGAGGTTTTTCCTACGTTTATTTCCATTCCCCATTCTTGACACCATCTTGAAATTTTAGTTAGGGAGGTATTAAGCCGTAACTGATCGTCGATCGCTCATGCTGTGGTATAAATGACACAGTCGTCAGCAAACAGTCTAACTGTGACGTCAGGTTCAACATGACAATGAATGTCATTAACGAAAATTAGGAAAAGAGTCGGGCCTAGCACAGACCCTTGTGGGATCCCGAGTAAACGTCTAACTCTTCAGATTCAGCGTCGTTTACTTTAACGTGCTGACTGTGGCTTGAGAGGTAGGCGGCTATCCAGTGTACTATATTGGTTTCAATCCCGATAATCTTCAGCTTGTCAATTAGTTTTTGATGGGGCACCTTATCAAATGCTTTGGAGAAATCTATGAATATTGCGTCACATTGAAGTCTTGAGTTAATTACGGTAGCAAAGTCATGTGCTATTTCGAGAAGTTGGGTTATGGTAGAGAGCCCTTTTCGAAAGCCGTGTTGTTTGGAGTAAAGTAGGTTGTTATCTTCTAAGTAAGTGGTGATTGCCTTGTTGACTATATGCTCCATTATCTTGCAACAAGAACTAGTCAGTGAAATGGGCCTATAATTGGTCACAAGTAATTTGTTACCCCCTTTATGAATAGGAAGGACCCTGGCACGAAGCCAGTCCGTCGGCAGTGTGGCTGTTTGAAGCGATGATACGAACATTGCATGTAGAAAGGGAGTTATTTGTTCTGCGTAGCGCCGTAGAAAGGCATTTGAAAGATCGTCAGGGCCTGAGCGTTTCTTGACGTCAATCTGCAGCAACAAGTTAAGTATTCCATCATGAGTTATGACTAGTTCCGACATTGATAACGCAGAATCTAGCACAGTTTTGTTTTGAGCAGACGCAGAAGTGCGTGTAAAAACCGACTGAAAGTACCTGTTAAACGTGTTGGCAATAGTGACAGCTTCATCCGTAATAGTCCCGTTGGTATCGATTTGAGTAACGTGGTCCGCGGGCTTGGATAGATAACGCTAAAACTTTTGTGGATGCTGTGTCATGAAACTTGTTAATGTCGTTGAAAAGGAAACGTCTCTTGCGTTCCTGATAGATGCCTTTAGCTCATCCGAAAGTCGGCGGATATCGTCAGGATTACGTTTCTTCTTTCGCATTCTTTGCAGCCTTCTTTTAAGGTGGATCACACCACGCGTAATCCACGGGTTTCTGCGTTTTGTACGTTTGAGTCGCGTGGGTACGAATGTTTCCTCACAATATTTTATTATATCTTTTAGTTTAAGCCACAGATTATTCACTGTATGGTGATTTTCAATGGAAAACGTTTCTAACGCTACTTCGAGGTAGTCAATAATGCTGACATCATCAGCTCTATTGTAGTTTTTAACAGCTGCGCGTGATTTAGGAACTGGTACGCTGTGACCGATAGTGATTGTTAGAAGAACAAGTTTATGATCAGATATGCCCTCTTCTAGTGTGACATCAGCTGTTAGGTGGTTAGAGATAAATGCAAGGTCTAGTATTGAAAGCGTATGCCCCTGAATGCGCGTTGGTTCTGTGACAAGCTGAGATAATGAAAAACTAAATGCTATGTTCAAAAGCAGCTCAGAACTAGAAACATCTCTACTACCAGCTGTCAGTGTATTCCAGTCAATAGCGGGCAAATTAAAATCCCCGGCAAGAATTAACTTAGTACGGTCTTTCAACTTGCCATGAAGGAAGTCGTGAATTTTTATGATGTATTCGTCAGGTGCGTTTGGCTTCCTATAAATACCACCAATCAGCACGGGCGATTCATGGGCATCTACAGTGCACCACACACTTTCATGGTCTGGAATGCCTTGCTCTTTTCGAAACGATAAACCCTTACGCACTGCGATAGCGACTCCACCGCCGCGTCTATCGCGGTCGGTGCGTATAAGAGAATAGGAGGGAGGAACTGTTTCTTAATGATGAATATCGCCGTGTAGCCATGTTTCGGTTATGCACACAACGTCAGGAGAATTAATGAGCAGTATATCTTCTAGTTTTGCAACTTTATTCACAATACTCCTTGCATTAAAACTTATTAACGACAGTGAATTCATAACCCGTACTCGTCATGCGTTGTGGTCCTTGGACTTCCCAGCGCCGCCGTGACGCACACTGTTCAAAGGCAGTCTGCATTTTTGTTCATCATTCCTTAGGTACAGTTGATCGTTCACTTTGAGCTTATCGTATAGTAGTGTTACCTTATCGCCCGCATCGCGCTCTGCTTTAGAAGACTGCCAAAGTTTACTGCGCACTTCACGTACTGAGGCCGAGAAGTCTTCCGATATAGATATCGAGCTATTTTTGAGCTTCTTACAGTTACGCAGAATGGTCATCTTTTCTGTGAAGTTGTAAAACCTTATAATTACAGGTATTGTACTGTTTGGTCTTTTCTTTTCAATGCGATGTACACGCTCGACTGATCTTGTTTCTACCCCGAGTTTGTCTTTGAACACTCCTTTCACTACCGCTTGCTCTAAATTGATACTGTTTTCATTCAGTCTTTCTTCCAACCCGTAAATAATAACGTTATTCCTGCGGCTTCTGTTTTCCATGTCGTCTATTTTTTTGCTCAGAGTCCTGATGTCCTTACTCATTGTGGCGACATACTGCTCGCACTGCTCCACTTTTTGATGGTACTGTTTTATCGATGCTAGAGTACCTTCTATCTCTGCCAGTCTGGATTGAACTCCTTGCAATCCTTCTTCCAATGTTCGTTGCGAAGTTTTAATTTCTGTAACCACTTTTAGGATCTCGCCGAGCGTGTTCGGGCCAGGATTTTCCTCTATATCACCACTAAGCAACAACAACAGTGAGCGAGCAATGCTGAACGATTCATAAACGCAACACAAAATACACTCAGGGCTCGGCAGCACCACAAAGCAGAGAACATCACTTTTGTGACACTTAGAAAATAGATAGTCCCTTCTAACCTGTACGAGAAGGAGAAAGTGGTTTTTCATGGCGTCCTTGACGGTGCCACCGAGCCCACTGAAGGGAGCACGGGACTGATGGGGCCTTTTGTGCGTTTCGTCCGATGTCGCTGCTGTCCCTGGTTGGCCGAAGGGGCGGTGCTGTGCGATAGTCCAAATAGCTGGATTCACAGGAAGAAGGATTACCGCCATCGGCCGTGATAACAGCACAGTGGGGTGCTGTTCTCGATGCAGGATAGCCGACGTTCCCGAGTCATACTGCCGAATTCTCGAAAACCGGTCGCAGCTAGCAGCGGTCCCCTCTAGTCCGAGCAGCGTCTGTACGAGAAGAAGAAAGTGGTTTTTCATGGCGTCCTTGACGGTGCCACCGAGCCCACTGAAGGGAGCTCGTGACTGATGGGGCCTTTTGTGCGTTTCGTCCTATGTCGCTGCTGTCCCTGGTTGGCCGAAGGGGTGGTGCGGTGCGATAGTCCAAATAGCTGGATTCACAGGAAGAAGGATTACCGCCATCGGCCGTGATAACAGCACAGCGGGGTGCTGTTCTCGATGCAGGATAGCCGACGTTCCCGAGTCATACTGCCGAATTCTCGAAAACCGGTCGCAGCTAGCAGTGGTCCCCTCTAGTCCGAGCCGCGTCTGTACGAGAAGAAGAAAGTGGTTTTTCATGGCGTCCTTGACGGTGCCACCGAGCCCAATATTGATTACAAAAACAATTTATCTTGTTCTATTTCGACTTCTTTCAGCGGCACGTGCATGGGAAAGACCGTGCGTTGATTGTCTCTCGACGAACGCTTGCGCGAGCATGCTTGCAGTGTCCCAGCCGATTAGCAGTAACTGACATTCCCTTGTACAATGTATGGCTGTTAACCCTTCATTTAAAATACACCTGTGATGAAAAAGTACAAAGATGGTGTTGCCCAGAAAGTTTTCCAGGAAACTTAAGTCTATCAGAAAGGAAACTATCGCTTAGGTGCTCCGGGTGTCGCTCTCAGCATTAAGTACGTTTCTTTGAACTCGATGCCTTTCTATTCTGTATGTATAATGCTTTTTAATAGGTTTCAATGCTTTGTCTCAATGCTGAGTTTTACGTCTGTGACAAGTGCGCAACAAGAGTTGTTTGGTGATCACTCGCCTTCCCTCTCTTTCTCACTTTGCCTGTTACGAATAGTATATATTTGTGCAGGCACCAATAAACATATACAGGGTGTTTTCCCTCAAGCACTATACGCCTTTTTATTCTTAAAAAAACTACAAAAGTAGGTACTTGTAGTCATCGCAGCCAACTTCTAGGACGATGCGGAAAAATTCTGCCACTGATTTAATCACTCAGGAATGATTAATTGAGAAAAGTAATTGACTTTTCACTGTCAATATTAGGATGATTGTTTATATAGCGAAGTTGTTCTACGTCACAAATTATGGCGACCATATTTTTAAATAATGATAATATTACACGTGGTTTCCGAGATCCATCGTCGAATTTCCAGACTGCGGTGCCGGAGAAACCGAAACTAGCGCACCGAGTGCACCGAAACTAACCGAGTGCGTCGAAACTAACTCCCTCCCTGCGTTAGTTTCGGCGCACTCGCTGAAACATCACTGATGCCGTTGGCGACGCCGTGCTGCTATGCTTCGCTGTCGATGCCATGCTGTAACATTGCATCAGCAGCGAAGCAGTGCGCCCAACCTGGGAAGTCGACCAAGGGTCAGGTAGCGTAAAAAAAATATTTGAAAAATAGAAAAAAGAATGCATACCTTTTTTAGCACAATGACCATTTTGAGATAAATAAGAAATGTTGAATCGATTCTTATCAATTAACAATTACACGAATAGTACACAAGAAAAGCTTATGTAAGCCTATTTTTGGTTGCCGACACACCTCTGCTCCTTCGTTTTCTTCTGTGTTTAACGTATTTCGTTGCCGCGAGAACATTTGAGAAGAACACCCATTTTCATAATTCATTCTGGGTAAAACACCGTTCTCCATCAAAATTGCGGAGAGAAAAAAAAAGCCAGACCCCTAGTCTACCCCCCACCGTGGAGGGGCCACTCCTAACTTTCACTCTACCTCATCACAGCTCGTTTAGCAGCAAGTTTTAACATATTTAGCACTACACCAGTTGCAATTCTCAGTGTATATCCGTAAGGCAGAGTCGGAGCCACTCACAGTCATTCTGCATTTTTAATAAGGAATCACATCGCAAATACCGTGACGATATAGTGAGAAGGACGATCAGTGCCTATAGTTCGTCCATATTTCTTTTGCGCTGTGGTTCGCCATTCTTCACCAACTTGCCAAAGTTTTCACGTTGCCTAGATTTTATTGTTTGAACGACAAGATAGCTGCGGAAATAACGGAACTTAAAGCAGCGTTTGCAGGCTGCGCAGGGTTCTCCATGAGCCCCCTCCCCCCATTCCTCCTTTCGAATTCTTTTCACTGAGGCCATTACTATTATTTCCTTCCCAGCACAAAGACGTGGTCTTATGGGTGAAGGTGGAGGAGGTGCCCCCTTTATCCCCCTACTTGCAAGCCTATAAAAGCGTTCACATTCCGCCTCCCCCCGTTACTTCCAGGGTGGCTCCCGTCACGAAGGAGCTTTTTGGAGAGCAGAGGAACACAATAGCCTCAGACACCTCATCCGGCTGGGCATATTCGGCCCAGGGGTGTCAGCGCGATGCACGCTCTCTTTGGCTCTTCGGGCTGCGCATCGCTCATCGCAGTCAGCGTCAGTGAAGGCAGCACGGCGTTGCAGCGTATGCCATGCTGCGCCAACTCTTGAGCGACCGACTTGGTGAGTGACACTACGCCTCCCTTGGAAACTGTGTACGCTACCAAGCCGGAGAGTCCGGTCTTGGCCAGTACGCTGGCGACGTTTACGATGACTCCCTCCTTGACGCCCGAGGTGATCATGGCACGTGCAGCGGCTCTTGTCACCAGGAACGTGCCCTGCGAAAAGACGGCGAACTCAATCACCATGCAACAGCTTTCACTGAAGACAGCTGCAGCTGCATCGCGAAGGAGTCACGCGAAGAAGGCTGGTATATTTTCAAGAAAAGACGCAGCAATTTAGTTATCTGCGTTCGCTTGGAATCTACTGCGAACTGTATACTGTTATGACCGGCATCAGTAGGCGCCATGCTGTCGCTGAGAAGCGTGGCCGGGCAGCGTTCCCACGCCTAGAACCCTGGTGGCAGCGGTGGGACGCGCTCAGCCGCTCTTTCTAAACCATTCTGGGGTGCTCTTGATGTATCGAAATTGATATTTTAGTTTTTTTCGTGCTTCTTATGTAAATCTGTAAAGTAGCACGTCTGGTTTTTCAGCTCAAGTGAGTCCTGAGAGTTTTGAGTGTGAGCTTCTGTTAAAGCTAGTAATTAAAATTGGTTTGCCATCCCTCTTTTGGCTTGGTTGTTCGAGGGGGGCCGAGTGCTTGCTTGTACAGGTGGTCGAGTATCAGAGATGCTGTCGAAGATTCGGCAATCACCCGGACCATGCCACAAGCGAAGGCCAGTTCCTGGCATTCAACTACTGACCTTTTCGTCGTCCCTGCGAGCAGCAGTGTTGACTGCTGCCCTCCGTGACTCATCTGGCGAGGGGGAAGCTGTTATGACCGGCATCAGTAGGCGCCATGCTGTCGCTGAGAAGCGTGGCCGGGCAGCGTTCCCACGCCTAGAACCCCGTCATCTCTGGACGCTGGTTCCGAGAAAACTGGGTTCTAGGCGTGGGAACGTGGCCCGGCTACGCTTCTCAGCGACAGCATGGCGCCTACCGATGGCGGTCATAACAATACGATGCAACGCAGTCAACCAGTACGGACCACTGCACCGAATATTTCTGTTGTGTAGCGTTTATATACCACGAGGACGAGCCGGGCAAAATGAAACATGCATTCAAAGGGCGACATTTGACGTTGCTTGCATGAAGTACTTCAAGCACAACATCAAGCAGTCGGACTCTCTACGAGCACCTGGTGTAATATCCTGGGGCATTTAAAACACGTGTTGTGTGGCTGTTCGCGTCACGACGAAGAACGAAAGAATCTGAAGGCAGCTCTTCATTTGCGAATCAGCTTGATTTTGGAGCCACGGCCCCTTCTCGACTCGTGGTGAGGCAGCGTTTGTACGACGCGCAACACAAAAGTGGTGTTGGTGTTTCTGAGGACTATATACTCGCCACGTAAAGATTGTGAATGGCTCTTAGATATATGGGTGTTCTTCTGACTGTATGTATTATCAGTTTGTATACGCAGACTTGTCGCCAGGAGTCTTTTTTTTAGGGGGAGGGGGTCACTTGCTAAAGGCCTTGACTGTTTTAGAAAAACACCTATCATGATTATCGGACTTTTTTTCGATAAAACATATTTTCCATCAAAAACGGAGGGGGAGCCCTGGGTCCCCCTTTATGCAAGGGGCTCGGGTACCGGAGATCATTGCATATATCGTGGTCATTTCCCGATCTGTTGTCGCAAGACAGGTGATAAACCAGGCTACCATCTCCGAAAATATAATTAAAAGTTACCTTTCTCTCTATGCATACCCGTATCGCGGTTTTCACTTAAGCCGAATAACTGTCAAGAGGAACATAATTCCTATACCCTAATCCCCCTATACCTTCATTTGACCGGGGATGAGACACAATTCGAACAATTTTGAAAATTTACTGCAGATGTAGATAGATCTGAGATAAGTGTCACCATCAACCGATATTCAACGTCTACCTAAATGTACGGGCGTCTCCACACGCATACGGAAAAACACAGGGCGTGTTCGGAGTTTTGTCGTAAGTGTGAAACAAGTTGTACCTATATGCGCGTTCTTGAGAGCGTCGGCCCACATCTGCACTCACTTATCTGTAGTGTCGAGAAATATTTAGCGCGAAAAAAGCAACAACTAAGTAATTCACGTAAATCTGCACAAACTACGCCCTCAAAAGTCCTTCTTAAGTCTGTATAATTTTCATTCGCCGCGGCATGTAGACTCTCTGGGTTATCAGAAACTGCTGATTCAGGTAGCTTGCTTTTATTGTTCAAGTAGGTTATCTGTGCCTATATACATGTGAGGTTATTACAGGGTAACGAGAAAGACGTTTTCGTAAGCGGTCGTTATAGTATAAGTTGCGCGGGATAAGCTGCAGACAAGTAGCTCGTTTTCGAGCAGCTTTATTACTGGCGCATTGCATCACAGAACACTGTGGAATCGCAAAATGTCGCCACGACGCTGTAGTATAGACATGTCATCCAGGAATACAGCAGTCGACATAGGTATTCGTGTCGTGATGATCGGATATTTAGTTTCTTGTGGTGGCAACCGTATGACGGTCATATTTAAGAGGTCTACCCTGGATACGAGGTTCGGTCGGATGAACTATACACGTAACCTAACAGCCAATAGCTTCACCAAAGATCGGGGAAAGTTCGTTCAAAAATTTGTTTTCATTTTAGAAAGCGATATGTCAAACGCGACCGAGAACATTGACTCTTATGAACAGGCCAAGATGCAGGCTGTTTAACATCTTTTCAAGTGTAAAAGAGTAATTGTGTTGAAGTGAAGCACTTATTTTTGCTGCAGCTTGACCACTAACCGTGAGGTCGACCTGAAGGACCTTGTCGAAGTCGTCATCCGTCATGTCAACAAGGGGCGAGCGCTTCAGTATGCCAGCGCAATTCACTACTATGCTGATGGGTTCGGTCTCCTTGATGTCAGTGAACAGTATGTTCACCGAGCTTGTGTCACTGACGTAAGGCAGAGTTGATCTATGGATCCCGGCGCCTAAAAAAAAAGGTTTTAATGAAGATTACTCACACAATTGCCTATGTTGGTATCTTTATTTGCCTACGCATATTACTACGTCTTCTTCCCTGTGACCCTATATAAGACGTTCCTCACCGAGTAGTTCCGCTGATGGCGGATCCCGTATTTGTGGATCACTCGGTCCCGCTCTCTTGGCAACAAAGATGAAGAATACGTTTTCATACCAGACAGAGCTTCTGGGCAAAATTAAATTTAAGGGCCCCCCACCACAGTGCGTTCAAAGACGAGGAAGTGGTTTCTCCCTCGCCGTCGCTTACCCTTCCTACAGGCGATATATCCTCGTCGCCACTCATTTCCTGAGAGCACGGTTACGATCTTGGCTCTATGAGCGTTGATAATACCAAGATTTTGTGTTTGCCGGCAGGGTTGCCACTGGTGGCTACTTTTCCCCAAATTGGTGAATTTGAGAGGCCCGTGGTGACGTAAAATAATGGATGTCGACATGGGGAATTTTTGGCGATTTTCGGCTCAGGTGTCGACTGAGTTATGCTTCAATGCTCACTGTCTTCAAAACAAATGGGCGGCAAAACTGTTTTTTTTTTTTAGCTTCAGATTCACCGGTACAAGGCGCCCTTAAAGCACAATTTTGTATGTCTGTCTTGTTTCCTGTATGTATCGCTATTTCCTAATTCACCTATAGGGAGGTACTGGCACATTGGTGCGTCTGCCACCAATTTCTCAGCAAAGTTTAGGTCAGTGGACTGCTTCGCGTGCTGCGAGGCGGTATTGTTATACTACGTTCTTTTAGGTGCTTCCAGAGCTATAAGCTTCTTTAAAGTTTCGCTTCTGAAGTGGCTGGGGTTGGTAAGGCTGCGTGTTCCGGCCACAGCTTAAACTGTCGTGAACAGCTGGTCGACTTCTTCCCTGCTGTAGTACCCCCTAATTTTGTATTTTGAGCTTGAAGTTTGATACTTTTTGTGTGGGCCAGCAAGTCGGCCTTCTTTAGGCAGCCTTCAGAAATTGCAGTGAGTTGAATTTATAGCGAAAGCATGACCAACCAAAAAGCGTTGTGCAGTCATTGCGATGATTATTCAATACTTCCGAATTCATATTTGTTGTATTGTAATTAAATTATTCGTTTATCGGATACATGATTTCACGGCAAAGGAATCGTCTAACTCTGCAGGAAGGCTATGCACGCCATACATCTGTTGCTGTAGCCATTGCTTCATCAGGTATTCTCTACAACAGAAGCCATCACAATCTTTTATTATGAAGCGCTACTAGCATTCAAGGACGCTGCTAGTATATCATGCCCTTTTCCGGGACTCTCATGGTGAAGCAGATGGTCTTACTGCCTTTAAAAAAACGTCAAAATAATTTAGGTTTTATGGCCCGTTGTGGTACTCGCCGAGGCTATACATAATTAGGAATTTTGATTACTAGGCAAGGCACACATGTGTAGAGTTCATGGTCACTTTTTTGGCGAAATTTGAAGAAAACTGGCGACTTTTGGCGATATTTCGTTCGTATTTTGGCGAATTTCGCTCGAAAGTCAGTGAAAACCCTGTTTACCGGCTACACGCTGTTATGTCCGCTTGCACAGTCGGAACCACACACACACACAGTGAAGTCAAATCATGTTGTTGAATAATAGCCATGCGAGTCGAAATGAAAATAATAACAAGTAGGTGTCTGCATGGCAAACAGTGTAAGAAACAACTCCCATGAGCTGTTCCGCGAATATGGGCTAATCTAGAGACGTACCGTAGCGTCGTCACGGGAATCACTGTTCTTGCAGCAGGAAGTGCGCAACAAGAAACACCTAGAGAATGTAACACTCTATATTTTTATTTACTTATTTTTCGTACTGGCAGATGCTGGTGAGGAGCCCTTCGAGGAAAGAACATGCTTGTGCCATCTTGGGCCATCTAAGAAAGAATTTCTTTGTTGTTGTTGAAATGGGTCATCCTATTGAAAGATTGACTGAGTGAAGTTTCTCAACAAATTCACGCCGCACATATGTAATAAAGAATTCTTGTTAATTAATACTATATGATCACCATGCACAACAAGGTAATCTAAATAGCTATATTACAGTTATAGGCTGTTTATTCAGCAAGGTCACAAAGCTAAAGCGAGCTTGCTTCTAAATCGATTTCAGAAAAAGACTCATGGCAAATCCTCGTGTCATGTTTTGAGCATTGAGCTCTCATGAGCGCTGTAGCTGGTCTCTTTACATAGCTTGCAAGTTGTGGTTCCTAATACATCCGACTCATTGCGAGTTATTGCAAAGATCACTGACGCATGCGGCTTTTAGTCAGTAACTCAAGTGGTGACCCACCAGGTAGCTCCGATGCGACGACTTTAGCAGCATTCCCGTCGAGATCCGCGACGATGACCCTGACCCCGTGGGAGGCCAAGGCGTGGCAGGTGGCCCTGCCTATGCCGCTAGCTCCTCCCGTCACCAGTGCTAGCCGACCGCGCAGAGACATGTTGTTGTTGTTGTTGTTTTCCTGTGCAAATGGCTCGTACCCAAAGAAGGGGATTGGCCGATTATAAGGTGAATTTGCCCTAAACATTCAGCATTGCGTCATTCCTACAATTTTTTTGTAACTTAATTTTGATTTGAAATACCGATATCAAGTTTGCAGAAAAAAAAATAAGAAAAATAGTAAGACAGCAATTTAGCAAGAAAATCGTTTAGTCGCAGTGATGTATTCTTGAACGGTGAATAAAACATCCCTGTGGCTGAAACCCAGTGTAGAGGCTCCAAATGAAAGAAGATCAGGTTGTGATAGTTGCAAGCCCAGTCTTTGAAGAGGTGGTGCTAGTATGCTTTGCCTGAATAAATCGAAACGGCGACAATGTAATAAAAAATGACTGATCGTTTCCTCTTGATTACAGTAAATGCACATAGGGAAATTCAATATGCCTGATCTATGCAAGTAAAAATTGAGGGAGGTAACGCGGCAACGAAATTTCGTGATGACAACTTCCATCATCCTTGATTTAGTCAGTTCACTGCGCCAGGGAAATAACAAGTGTTTGTACTCTGGAGAAGCCGTCAGTGCAGGGTCAGATAAATTTTGCCTGATTTTAAGTGTGCGAAATCGCGCCACCGTAATGTATACTGTATGAGGGAAAATAGGAATAATTGGTGTCGAAAGAGATGCCTTCGCAAGAGAATCAGCTATTTCGTTTAACAACAAACCTTTGTGCCCTGGTGTCCAGATTAAATGAATACTTCGGAGATGACAGGGGATCAACGATTTAAAAAGTTTCACTATAGGTGAGTGACCAGATGCGGACAGAGAAGAGCACACTGATAATGAATCAGTTATGACTGCTACAACTGGAATGGAAATATTTACCTTTCGCAAAGCTAACATTATTGCCATGAATTCAGCCAGAAAGACAGGAATAAAGTCCGGTAAGCGAAGTGAAAATGACCAATCAAGTACGGGGCAATATATTCCAACGCCTGATTTTTCATGTGATTGAGATGCGTCCGTTGCTATAATGACATTTGTTGGCAGAATACTTAAATGGTCCTGCAATAAACCATTTAAAATGCCTGTAGGTAATAGCTTTGCGTGAGATGGGAAGATATCATGGTAAACAATTTCTGGAGAATTTTGTTGCTCAGTTAAAGGAATCAGATCACGAACGTGTACAATTTGGGGCTCAAGTAATGATTGAACAAATACTATTTGTGGTTTGGTAAATCTGGGCCAATGCACTCAGAAGAATAGGTCAGGATTGGAAATAAAAATAATTTGTTCAGGGTTAAACGGTGCTTCATATAGTCGTAAAAAGGTCTGCACAGTAAGAATGTTAAAGCGACATAATAAGGTTGGTATTCGTGCTTCAAGGTATAACACTGCATTTGCAGTATACTTTGGAAGTCCTAAGCAGAGCCGTAAAGCCTCTCTTTCCAACAGAACGAGCGGCCGAAGTTTGTAGGCTGGCGCACCAGAAAAAAGAATGCAGCCAAACTCCAACACAGGTCGGACATACATCTTATATATAATCAAAAGTGCCTTTCTTCTCATACCTGATCTACAATTGCTCAACCTCCGCAATACGCCCATCGCGCGTACTGCTTTTGTCGCGATGTATTCAATGTGAGGGCGCCAATTTAGATGTTCATTATACATAACTCCAAGATATTTCAATGATTGTACTTGTGGGATATCTTGAAGCTTGTAATTAATAGATATGTGCACGGGATCTTTGATTGGAAAAACGAGAATAGCACATTTACCGGTATTCAGGTTCAACATCAATCCATCCAACCAATGTTCTATTTTATTAAGATATGTTTGCAAGATAGTGTAGAGACAGTGGAAGTCATGTGCCATAGCAAAGAAAGCAATGTCATCGGCATAAACATAGGTTTTCACTTCTGGATGAACGGGGATGGTACTAAGCAATATGTTGAATAAAACCGGGGAAAGCACTGACCCCTGAGGTACACCTCGGGTTTGCTTGTGCTTACAGGAAGAAAAACCGCCTTGATAACAATAAAATTCTCTTCTACTTAAAAATTCCGTCACCCATGCTACTATATAAGGTGGAAGGCCATGACTCCATAACTGATTAGTCAAGATAGAATACTCTACACTATCATATGCTTTACATATGCTTCATATGCTATCATATGCTTTACAGAAACATGCTTACGTTGATGCCAGGTCTGCAAGGTGTGCGTCCGTGTGTGATGAGTGAAGAAAACGACAACGACGGAAGTGCGGGGCAAGGCGCGTGTAATGTGCGCGTGAGTGTCAGCGAATCAGCTGATGACCTGTGGTGGCCCATAGAGGTGGCGTGCCACAATTGGGCCACATGTGACCATTACGTGGCAGTAGGCTTTGTGGCTGGGGACGAGCCGAAGCAGAGGCAGACGGGAGACAGCGGGCCGAAGCGTCGGACGCAGGCGATCCAGGTTCCGGCCAGGGAACGCGGCCGTCCACGCTACTGCCGTCCAACTACCAGCTGGGGCGGCGTTGCCGGCACGAGTACTGCATCTCGGGGCGCGGCCTGGCCTGCTGTTCTCTTCCTTGCTGAGGGAATTGCGGATCTCGGCGAGGTGTCTCCACGGTCAGCCGTTCGACACAGCGATGAACATGGCCTGGCTAATGGTCACGGTTGCGTCGAGCATCGCGTCTCGGCGCACGCTCTTCGCTGGACGGGCTGGCCATGCCCCGCATGGAGCATCGCGTCTTCGATGCGGGTTGACTGCTCCGTGGCCGCACCCACGCCATCAAGCGCCGGTGTCACCAGAGCGTCGCACTTCGGCAAGGGACGAGCGAGATGTTCTGCCGGGCGAGACGCGGGAGTGCGCACAGAGGAGCACGGAGCCGGGCGAGGATTCAGGGTGGCCGAGGATTCAGATGCCAGGGGAGTTGCTGGCTGAATCTAGGATCGCCGAGCGGTGCCGAGCGACGCGCCAGACTCTGACGTGGGCCACGAGCTCATGAGCTGCAGGGTGCACCCGAGGGTACCTGGCGGTGCCCTGGCCAAGAAGGAACGTGCGGAAAAGAGAGCTCGAGGGTTGAGGCCACGAAGGCAGAGGAAGCGGTGCGCCGCTCGAGAGGACGAGTTCCTGGCAGCGTTCCTGAGCCGGATATGAGACCCGTACGTGTCAGCCAGGTCGAGCTCCGGTGTGTCTGTTCAAGGTCCAAGGCCGAGACCTGCCGAACGGCTCCTGCCTGGGTGCAGTGGCCGGGAGCAGGTTCGTAGGCGAGGCCTACCGGGTGTGGTCCTCGTGAGCCGTGGCCTGATCCTGGACCTCCGGAGTTGCGACCCTGACTGCTGGGTTGGCTGCGACGTCCGACTCAACGGCGCTGCACACGGTAGCGTATCCGTGCGCCGTCAGCCGTTCCACCCATGCCATGAAATAAAAAGTTCATGTTAATCCTTTCTCGTCCGCTATCAACAAACATAGTGACGATCGTCCTTAACCATCACACCGTGTCATCTTTATATACAGCGTCGGGCTTATCAGGTCCATAAAACGGCGCATTGCGCGATAAAAGACGGTGTATCGGGTAGATTTGCGAACGCCGTAGCTGACATGCAAATTATGCATTTGAGGCAGGCAGCTCCATTTTCATGACTCGCGCAGTTCCTCCGGACGTTTTGAGCCAGTAGCACAATATCTGTACGCTCAAGGGTCTGCAGAATGCTCAATTACTTTTGTTCTACATTGTCATGCAGAAATAAATGTGTATGGAAGCAAGGAGCGATACGGAAAGACAGAGGCCAGGTTAGTTAACCAGAGGAACGTCTGATTGACCTAGTACAATGTTTGCAAGGACTTCGAGCTTGTCCAGGCGTGTAGCTGCTAAATATTTATCTTCACATGCACTAATGGTTATGATGCTCTTGTTGAAGCATTGATCACCCGCAACCGGTCTTCACACTGTTCCTTTATGAATCAGTGCCCCACGGGTTTTGTTAGGTTTAGCGTGTTACGTTACAACGAGGACGTGGTTCAGCAAATCGAACATTCAGATGCAGTCTTCATTCTTCCCGACCATGTCTTCCAACGGCATAACGGGGCTAACGAGCCATTTGACCGCACCTTAGTGAAGGGGCTGTTTATACGGGAGCCCCGTGCTCTGCATGTTCCGTTGGACGTCGTCCGCCGCTCTGGATCAGGGGTGCTCGGCTGCTAAACCGAATTTCGGTCGCACGTTCGATCCCGGTCTGGGCGGTCACGTTGTGGTGGAGTCGAAATAATATAGGCCCATGTACTGTGCTGTGACAGTGTGCGCTTGAAGAACACCAGATTGTCAAATTTTCCGGGGCCCTTCACTACTGCATCTCTCATAATTACATCGTGGTTTTAGGACGCATAACCCCAGATAATATTACTATTATCGTTGCAAATCCGGCATCATGTAAGATAAATGCTTCGTGGCATGCACTTTTTCTATATGAATAGTGCGCCCTTCGTCGAACGCTGTAGACGTAATAACAAAAATGAATGGTAGATATGTATATCGGCTTTCTAAAGTCACCTGGCTGCTTTTCAAAACAACCTGATTTTTTCGACAGTGTTTACTAAACGCCTTGGTATTGTTATTTATCAAATAGGTGTTGACTTGCGGTCAGTGACTTATCACATTCAAAGGTTATTCGCGCCTTACTATAACAAACGTTCTACTCTGTTTATCTTTAAAGTGTTCAGCGCTAAACGAACACCTCAGACAAACAAGTGACAATGATCGATTAACGTATCTCTTTTCGCTTCTGAGTGCATTTTGCGCTGAAGGTTTTAAATGTAAAATACCAACTAACCCATTCTCATGCGTTAACTCTATTGTCTGTTCGTTAACTCTATCTGAGAGCCAAATGACTTCCGAGAAAGACGTCTCCTGTCCGCGCTGTTACATGAGGTGAGGATCGCTTGTCCAATTCGACGAATACGAAGTTTGCCTGTCGCGCTACTTCATCACTTGCCACAAGCAGTAGATTCTCAGCGCTGTGGTTACTCGCGTCTGTGAAAGATAGTAAACTTAGTTATAAAGTAGAGAGGTCGGCTTCATGTTATATATGTTGCTCTATCCTTCTACTACTCACTGGGAAAACGGGAAGAGGAAAAGAGACTGAAGCTTTATGGCTTACGATAAGGACGTATTGAAGATTCAGAAACTGGTCACTTTTATTCTAAACTTATGAATTTTAGTGACTCTTGCTTAAAATCAGCCGGGTTAAGCGACCGCTTATAGGCGTACAGGGACGCACATGTATACTGACTTTGCTTTCCTTCCTCTTCTTTCTTTTTTTAGTCCTTTCATACCCCCCCCCCCCTTTATAGCGGGTGGCAAACAGGATGCACGTCTGATTGACCTCCCTGTTATTTATTTCCTTCCTCCTACTCATCCTCCTTAATTTTAAAAAGACAGTATTCTATTCATCTGAGGCGCTTACGTGCGATGCATCTCTTCGTTATTGATAGAAAAATTTTGGTTTTAGTATATTTATCTGTATTATTTGTTTCCGTGGCTGATATAGCGTAGACTACATGCGGCTTCAATGTAAGTACCTTACTCTATTTTTCGCCTGCTTAAGTAAATTACAACTATTGAAGCAGCAAGGTGGGCGCTATCCTGATAGTTTGAGCATCAAAATCACTCCAAACCGTCAATTTTACCAGTATATTGCTCACCGTTGTAGAATGTTTGTGGCTTCATTTCACTTTCTCAACAACGTAGTCGGAGCTAATCTGTCCATCTTTATCACCATTTGCTTACGCACATTGTGCATATACATGAATATTGGAGTATATACTTATATGATGGTGTCCCATAGCACAAAGCTGTGTGTGGAACTCCTGTTGGAGAATGTCGAAAATGATTTCTTAAAGTAGGTTGCACGACTACAGCGTAGGAAATAAGACAAAAAGGTTTGAGTGCAGTCGTAATAACTTTTATTGCATACTGTGAGCATCTAGCGCTGCAACTTCGTGCGTTACCAGATGAGACTTCACAATTAGCCTAGTAATCCACAGAAGAAACAGTTTTCCGGGCGGAGCAGGAAGAAATAGACAGAAGGACAAGACAGTTCGCTGCATATCTTAGACCGGCTGGCTGTGCTGTGCCACTGAGGAAAAGACTAGAGTGTTCAGCTGCACATACAGGGATCATGAGCCGAAAAATTCACCGTTAGCGCATGAGCCATATATACGTCAAATTTCTGACCTGACTGAGCACTGGCTTGTCGAAAGGCGGAGAGTACGATGTTGTACATATGACTGCATCAAACAATTCATTGTACGTACACAGTTCTCCGTCTACGAAAGACAAAAGTAGCATTACATCAATAACTTCATAATAGATATAGGAATAAATATATAAAAGATATAAAACGTGCGAACATAACATTTGTTCTAATGCAAACGAAAATATATGTTCTGGTAACACTCGCTTTTGGGCAATAGTTGAATCATCGTTCTACATCTCTATATGTGCCTTTCATGTTACTCGCCCCTTTAGCGCATGTCCTCTCCCTCGTGACAGCGAGAGAAATCTTTAACTTTTAGTGCTTGCACTTTTATCGCGAGCAACAAAAATCGTGGTGTTTTACTAAATATTATTTGCGGCGGACATCCGTGGTGGTACGCGCGCAGCCTGACGAGTCAGGAGTATATATACAGCACGCCAACGGGTACATAGAAGCCAGCAAAAGGAGTCAATAAGGAGTCTCTCTTTCTCTCTCTCTCTCTCTCTCTCTCTCTCTCTCTCTCTCTCTCGGTGTCTTGTGCGTTGGTATAACCTATGAAATTGATGCTAAGGAGCTTGGGTGGCGGCTGAGACTTAGAAGAACTCTATGGCCTGAAGCACTTCCGCTATTATGAAAGTTACATTTCGTGTCTGTCCAAGCAGGCGAAGAGGAGGTGTCTATTAAATAGACAGACCAAATACCAAAAAAAAAAAACAACCAGTACACATAAGGCCAGATACCCACAGTTATTATATCTAGTCGTATGCGTGTGATTCTACAATGCAGCTTTAAGAAATGCCAGATTCGCGAACATGGGCTGTCACGGGATCCGACGTTTCTACAAGCGGACCTGCCAACTTAGAGGCTGAAACTGGTAGGTCCACAAGCGGACCTGTCAACTTCAAGGCTGCAACTACATTAGGCACAGCTGCAGCCTTCAAGAAGGGAGGTCCGCTTGTGGAAACGTCGGATCCCGCAACATCCCATGTTCACGAATATGTAGTCTCCTGAAGCTTCCCCTAAACTTCCGCCTTTTTTCATATACAATCTGACTTGTTGCACATGAAAATCTCAGCTGACATGCGTGTATGCACTCAAGTCCCAATGGGACTTGCTGGCCGCGCCCGGAATCGAACTCGACGCGGTGTTGGGCATCGAAAGAAAGTCATTGCTTATCCCTCTGCCATTGCAATGGTTGCGCGCTGGTGATGGTCAGGTACGAGATTATTGTTACGCGAGCGTCCATAGCCGTTGCGTCTCCGACGGTGGTCACATGTGAAGGCCGCCGGTGACTTCGAAGGAGGCTCCCGTGATGAAAGAGCTGTCCGCCTCGTCGCACAAGAACCGGATGGCTCGGGCGATCTCCTCGGGTCGGCCCAGGCGACCAAGTGGAGTGCGGGCGCTGACGTTGGCACGGTCCTTCTCGCTCACGCCGGCCGTCATGGCGGTGTCTACTATGCCCGGCAGAACGACGTTGCAGCGAATGCCGTGTGGTGCCAGCTCGAGTGCCGCCGTCTTGGTGAAGGCGATGACGGCTGCCTTGGAGGCCGCGTAGGCACTGTGGTATCGCAATCCCGTCTGGGCCACGATGCTGGACACCGTCACCACGGAGCCTTGTTCCACGCCTCGCGCCAGCATCTCGCTGACTGCCGCTTGCACTGTCAAGAACGTTCCCTGTCGAAAAGACGCACAGAAGGACGTATGTAGACTCAGCTATTCCACGGGTGTGGATGCGTATGCAACGAGAAGAGGTTAACCACACGCTATAATGCATTTGTACAACTTTCATCGTCGCCGTGTCTGTGGTCGTCTAGTGGCCATGCATGAGGCTCGACTGCCAAACCGAGCGTCACCGGATCAAATGCTGGCCGTGGCGGCGTCATTTCGATGAACAAAAGTTGCTGCCAGCATTGGCCAATGTTGGCTAGCAAAAACTAATCAAGCTCATGCTGGTTTACAGTCGGCAACTCTACACATACTGAAAGCGGCCAATCGCAGCTGTACGCTGCAACATTCAATGTCAGTTCAATGATTTTTTTTCAACACTCATTTTAGTAATAGTTTCTCATGGTAATCACCATCATGCATGATCGTAATCATCACGTACTAAAGGCTGCTCTGAAGGTACACGGGACGTTACAGCGACCGGGCGAACAAAAATGTGGGCGTTACCTTTAAATTCACGTCGATCATTTGCTCGAACACCTCTAGCTTCAGGTCGACGACTCTGCCGCTTCTTGATACTCCGGCGCAGCACACAACAATGCTCACCGGAGGCAGATCCGCGCAATTGCGAAGTTTATTGAACAGAGACGTCACCGACGCTTCACTACTAACGTCAACATGACAGGCATGGTGGCGTGCTGTTCCTGCAAGAACCAAAACTCTCAGGACGCTACGTTATCTGAAAGTCAAGGTCAGAAAACGAGACCACGTCGCTGAAACTGCCGTACGGATTTCTTCTACTGTCGAGCTCCTCATAGGCTCCGACCTATTTTTATTCATCTTCAAGATTGCTTCTGGCGATCAGAGCCTTAGGTGAGTGATTCACTTATATACACGTAAACGTGTCCTTAAGACAGATTCTTCGCATATATACAGGCTGACTGCAAATCTCTGCCCTTGTCTACCACTTCTTGTTCCTGTCTTCATGAATTCGTGTTCTCTTGGCAAGCTTTCAAACACCATCTATGTTGTCGCCACACTAGTATTCAAGCTTACTCTTACAGTTTTGGTCTAATGCCCTCGACCACTTCTCGCAGTTCATCCCCAGCGTTGTTTTACATGAAACTATCCGTTGCAAACCATACATGCTGTAAGTATAATATACAGTCCCAACTCGCGATACGGGTCACTAAACTAGTACGGAAGTATCAGGGGCTGATTTCTAAATATTTACTTCTTCCACGTCAGATCTTCGAAATTCTCGTCGCCATAGTCGCGTCATTGTCGCGCGTTTGCATCAAGTTTACCAACTACGCTGACGTAGATGTCTTTCCTTCATGCTACGTTCGCCTTACGAATTAGTCGTACAGCGGCGTGCTCACCTCCGGGCAAGCGAAGCACAGTCTGGACGGCGGAGTCCAAATTGCAGTCTGCAGCCACCACCCGAGCGCCATCGGCTGCCAGCGCTTCGCACACGCAGCGACCGATGCCACTTCCTGCGCCAGTGACCAGGGCAGTGCGGTTCTTCAGCTTCGATATCGTCAGCACTTCGGGCAGTGACGCGGAAACGGGACACATGTTCCGTGCTAAAGCGTTCTGAAAGTAGATAAAGACAGCAACCTGTATATAGACAAACGGCAAACGGTGTGCTTGTATCTGTCAGAATGGCACAGCTCACACAATACAGTGGGCCGCTCGACGCGAAGCTAATTGAATACGTATAGAGCGGGAGTTGAACCGAATACAATGCACTTAAGGCATACTTTCGCGTTGCGTCATTGTTCTCGCCAAGGAGTTTTTACAAAGTCAACGCGTTCATGATAGCATCACAGACAAAAATTTCTCCTATCAGCAATGTGCAAGCCACTCCGTTGCCGAGATCATACCTATTCGCTACAAACTTGTTGAGCTCTGCACTCACTTTCAAGCCTCAGAAAGCTCGATAAACTGCTTTGCTAATGTTGCGGAGAGTCTAAAGTGTCGGGATCGATTTGTGTGATAACTCTTCGTAATACCTAACACGAAAGTGCTTTATAACGGGGTATACCAGGACTTCAGTGACGTATTTCCGTCAAGGTATGGCGTTGATAAATGGATACTAACGGATGAAAAAAAAAATGATAAGTACGTTCTGCCGCTGGGGATCACACCTACGATCTATGGGACCGTGAAAAAGAGCACCCGGTGCTCTTCGACAAAGTTTAGAAGGCAAACACACGACGCTGCACGAACGTGCCTAATGTCTGTCACACAGTTTCTCTGACGCTTCTCTGTTGGAGAGGCTAAGCGGGGCTGTAGAGTCACTTCATACAGTGACTGTAGTCGGGGCGGTGTGTTGCCGCCGTCTGTTATCGGCCAAGGGCAGCAATGCTGCATTACACCCAGTAACGCCGATACAGAACGATTCGGCAAATGAAGCACTTAAAGCATGACCTCGGAGATTCGTACTCTCAGAGGCCTTAAAGCGTTTTGATGCCAGCGAGAAACACTGGCCTAGTTTGCTCCGTTGCGCCGCGGTACCCCGTTTTCTTCCGCGTGTCACCATTTCACACCTCGTCGCAACTCGGGCGAATGGTAATTATATTTGTCAGAGTTTAAATTCCAAAAGGAGATAAGATTGTTAAGGACGCCGTATAGTGGAGGGCTGTGGTAATTTCGACCACCTGGGGTTCTTTGCTGTGCACCTGAATCTGAGCACACGGGTCTCAAACATATTTGGCTCCATCGAAAATGCTACCGCCACGGATTTTGCCCCAAGACCTTCAGATCGATCAGCTAGGCAAGTGACCAGAGCTAGCGCTCGTATCACTGGCAAGTCATGTGTTGCCGTGCGGAAGGTAGTACAGTACACGTCACTGGTAGCCCATTTGTCTAAAACACCAAGAAGGCGCGCTCTGGACTGAACTGACGACGTTTTCTGATTGCCACTATTTTGAAAGAGCCAAAATTCTCGCAAATTCAAAACCGCCGAGCTTAAATGCTTAAAGGGGCCCTGAAACACTTTTTTTGAGTAGCCATGGAAGTAATTCACTGAAAAAGCGCATTACCTCACAAATTTAACGCTACAGAAATTTTAAGAATCCGTCCAGTACGAGCGGAGCAACAAAGATTTGTCACACGCTGCAATCACATTCTCTCTTTTCTCGTCCAGATGAAAGCGCTGAAAGCTGAGCCTGGTAGGAGTTCTGTGGCTGAGCTGGGAGGGATGGGAGGTGCAAACAAAAAAACGTCACTCGCGCCTTGTGACCTTGAGCATCTTTTTTTTTTTTTTGAATGCGCGGCTTCTCAGTGCAATCGCACGCGCATGCGTGGATAAGTGACGGCCTCTCGCGGCGACCTCTGTAACAACCGAGCGCGCCATGTTCAAATCAGTCAATGGCTGATAGATGGGCTTACTCGGCTTAATTCCGTGATTTGTCGAGAAAAGAGAAAGCTATTTTTTAGCTGGTCTTTGATAATTTGTTGTGAACTCCAGGCCGCGTGCTGCGCCGTAATATTTGGCTCGCGTGTTGTCGGGATGGTGGTGGTGTTGGTAAAAAACATTTATTTCATAAAAAGTCTGCTAGAGAGTGCCGACGTGGCCAGTCGGCGTGCTAGAGTGGCAAGACCCTATTCCGGGACGCCAGTGGAGCTGGAAGCTGCCCGTGCGCGCTCCACCAAGGAGCGTTGTGCAGCCAAGGTAGAGCAGCCGAGCAGGTGCTCCTCCCAAGCCTCTCTTGTTGGGATAGGAAAAGGGGATGAGAAAGGGACGGGATTAACTGGGCACGATGCTACGACGTGATATGTGTCGGCGAGGACATGACAGGTCGAGCAGGTGCCATTGATTTCCGGCAAAAAGTGCCTGGCGACCGCCGGACTGATAAAAGTGTTCGTCTGCAGGCGGCGTAGCAGTCGTTCGTCCGCTTTCTCCAGACCGCGTGCGGGGTCCGGGTAGAGGCGGCGCGAAGCCCGGTAATAAGCCAAAATTTCGCGAAAGCGCGTCAGGTTGGTTTTGCCAGATTCCGTCTCGGGACATGGAGGGGCAACGGCCCGGGCAGGAGAAGCGCGGGCAGCGTCGTTTGCCGCCTCGTTGCCGGGCAGGCCCGAGTGGCCTGGGGTCCAGACTATACGAATGGGAGGAGGGTTAAAGCGCCAAGAGGCTGCCTGTACTAGGCTAGCCGCCAGCGGGACAATGGAACCCTGAAGGTACTGAGAACAGGCCGAGCGCGAGTCCGTCAGGATGGTGCGTGAGGCAGGGTGAGAGGCGTCCAAAGCTATGGCAACCTCTTCAGCGTGCGTTACTGTGTCTGCTCGAAAGGAGAGGCCATCGCCGTGTTTGCCCTCTGTAATCACAGCAGCCGTGAAGTGACCCGAGGGGGAGGGACCCGAGACGTCCACGTAGAAAACACCAGGACGATCGGAGTGTCGCGTATGAAGGGCCGCGGCGCGTGCTAGTCTACGGCCAGGATGGAGGTCGGGGTTCATATTACGGGGTAGAGGTTCCACCCATAGCTTTTGACGCCAGAGCTCAGGTACCGGCTGCAGAGGGTCTTGGTCAGATATCGGGTTAAGGCCAAGTCTGTGTAGAAGACGGCGCCCTGAAGGCGTCTGCGACAGTCGATTGATTTGGTTAACGCGATGAGCTTCGCGCATCTCTGCAAAGGTGTTGTGTACCCCCAGAGCCGCGAATCGGCTGTTGTAAGTTGCAATAGGTAGGTCCAGAGCGCGTTTGTATACTGAACGAAGAAGGACGTCCAGCTGGTGCTTGTGTCGACGACGCAAGCGAAGGTAAGGCAAGGCGTAGAGGACGCGACTGGTCACAAACGCGTGGGCCAATCGGAGGTACTGAGACCCGCGGAGGCCGCCGCGCTTGGTAGAAACTCGCCGTATCATGCGGCTCACCTGTTCGCTGGTGCGTCTGAGGCCTGCTATTGTGCCCTTTGGATCCAAGGACGATGAGAGGTGAAGGCCAAGAACCCGAATATTTTGCACTGACGGGACAGGCCCGGACGGAAGAAAAATTCGAGGCGGCGGTAGCGGAGAGACTGAAAGAAGAGCCGATTTAGCTGGAGAGCACTCCAGGCCGCATGAACCTGCGTAGGTGCCCACCAGAAGGGCAGCCTTTTGCAGGCGTTCTTCGATTTGCGCTAAGGAGCCGGTGTTGGTCCAGATTGTGATATCGTCCACATATAGTGCGTGTTGTATTCCCTCAACCTCGCTTAGAAGAAAGGGGAGGTTCATCATCGCCAGGTTAAAAAGCAGGGGAGACAGGACTGCCCCTTGAGGTGTGCCCCGCGTGCCTAATAAGTACGGGCCGTGTTCGGTAGAATTAAGGCGAATGAAGGCGGTGCGATGTGATAGAAAGGCGCGAATGTAGTTGAAAGTCTTCTGCCCGCAGTTTGTGGTAGACAGGTTAGTGAGTATAGCGCTGTGTTTGACGTTGTCGAACGCCCCGCGGAGATCAAGAGCGAGCACGGCTTTATCGTTATGGCGCATAGTAGTCGGCTCTATGATATCGTGTTGAAGCTGGAGCAGGACGTCCTGCACCGACAGATGCGGGCGAAAGCCAAACATCGTGTCGGCAAAGGTCCTCCTGGCCTCCAAGTAGGCGGAAAGGCGTTCGCGAACCATGGTTTCCATGAGTTTGCCTGCGCAAGACGTAAGTGAGATGGGTCTCAGTGCCTCAATACTAACGGACTTTGCCGATTTGGGTATGAATGTCACGACCAATGTGGTCCATTCCGTTGGAAGCGGAGAGCCGTCCCATATCGAATTTATAAGGTGGAGTAGCGAGAGGTGTGCTTGGTCGGGAAGATTTGCCAGGAGCGATACTGTGATTCCGTCGCGTCCAGGGGCCGTGCCCCGTCGCATTTTCGTGAGTGCAAATCGTAAATCAGAAAGCGTGTATGGGGCGTCGAGGTCGGTGTTAGGGGCGCCGGAATACGCATATGCTGGGTCTGCGGGATCAATTGTGCGGCAGATGTAGCGGTCACAAAGTTCTCGCGCGAGTTCATCCGTAGTGCCCTGAAAGGCATGCAGAACACGGTGGAGCTGGCGTTGCGTTTCTCCCCTGGTGGTGGAGGGATCTAGAAGGCTTCTATAGAGTCGCCACGCACTCTTAGAGCTCATCTGGTTTGCAACCTTCGAACAGGTGTCTGCCAGGTTAGCATCGGAAAGTTGTGCGGAGTATGCGGCCGCCTCTGCAGTGAGCGCCTCAATGCGAGCACGAAGTTTTCGATTAGGTTTGTTGCGTTTCCAGCGCCTTACGGCTTCTGCTTTCGGCTCCGAGCATTGTTATCAAGTTTTTCGCTTTCTACGGGAGACGCTGCTCCCTGCCCCAAGGCGACGGACGCGGAGTCATCCACTGGTCCGCCCAGCCAGAGGTCTGCTATGGCGAGCTCCTCGGTAAATCAGCGCGCCTGGCCCAGAACCAGTGAGGCCAACGGTGATAGTCACTGCATCATGGCTGTGGACATGGAGCCTTCTGCGGCTATGTCCGACCATAGACCACTTTTGGCAAGCTCGTCGCGCAAACGAAGCACCTGTTCGAGCACCAGCGAGGACACGGAACTGTACTCGGCCACTGGCGACGACTCGTCGGATGACGACTTCGAGAC